CCCACAGCACCTCATTCAGCCTCCACACTCTCCTCGAAGTCTGAGTTCTGTGGTTTGGAGAGTCGACCCACATAGTTTGGGATTTGATTCTCTACTCGTTTGGCTTCTGCCCTGCTTTGATGTGTGTTTCCACTGTAAGGAACGAGCTCCTGGCCGCGATACAGGTACTAATAGCATTCAGCACCGCCAGGACGCGTGGAAGATGCTGGAGCCTTGCTGACCGCAAATAAAGATTTGAGCGGAAAGTCACATTCTTTGGGGCAGTTTCACAAGAGCACCCAAGAGAAACTATTTTGTTTGTGACCCTCATGAGCTCAGCGGGTTTCGGTCTGACTCTGCCAATGACCAGGTAGCCCAGTGGCCCTTGCTCTCTGCTCGGCCTGAGGAGTGGCGAGCTGGGCCCTTGCAGGGAAGGAGAACCACGTGTGGCGACTGAGTCGTGTCCTGCGAGGACTCGTAGGAACCTGAGAAAGCCAGGAAAGGGGAGTCTGGGTCCAACTGAGCCATCTGTCACTGTTCACAAGAACACGTAGAGAAAGGACAGTGAGTTGTTTCCTGTCATCGCAGAGGCTGCAGGAAGAACTCGTTCTCGGGTCCAAAGGAAATCTGAGCTGTTGGGAGCTGAGCCTTCTGCCCTGAGCAGGTAGTGCCTGCCCCTTCCCTGCAGTGCTCACAGCCGGCCCTGTAGCAGAGAGCAGGCAGTGAGGCTTTGGTGTAAATTAAACAGTCACTTTGGGGTCAAGGCAGTATTTTTCAGCCCCCACAGCATTTAGGGGGCAGGCCCGAGTTGTCTGGGTTAGGGGCTGTCTCAGCACTGCCAGTGTCATGCCCAATGCCCAACAAGATTGTGTGGCCACCCTGTTATGACCACTGGAAGCGGGGCCCGCTCACTGAACCAACATCTCAGGGGCCTGGGGCCTTGCTTTCCTTCCCAGGACACGTCTGCAGAGTGGCCTTTGCCACCTTACCGGTGCGTGCGTGCATTTGGTTGTCTGGCTTGTCCCCCAGGAAACGATGGGAAGAAAAGAAGCAGGGACAGCCCATCTCAGATCTGTTCCATACTGTTTGCCGAGGTCCAGCTGCAGCCCCTTGGGGGCCACGACTGGGGATGGGGTCTTTCCTGGTGGCGCCTCGGCCTCCTGGAACCTCCATCCACCTCAGCTTCTGGCACGCCCAAGGCCTTCGGAGCGAAAAGAATGTCTCTTCTTCTTCGGCGCATGGGCTGCTCTGAATGTGTAGCAGTAGGTTTCCTGTTGCATCTCCCCTGCACCCTCCACCCCAGGCCTGTGTATGCAGTTACCGAGTTAAGTATCTGAGTGAACGCGGATGCGTAGAGCCAGAGCGTGGTTTCAGGGAGAAAGAAACGGAGCCCTGGGAGGAGGCATTCAGAGCTTTCCTCTCCGTTGGTCCAGGCGTAAGGGTCTGGCAGTGGAGCGCAAACTTGAGCAGGTGCCGGAGTGGGCAGGAGCTGATGAGAAACCAGCTCCGTTGGCGGGTCTGCTTTTGCTCCTCCGTGTCCAGGGGGCAGAGGTGCCTCGGTGGCTGGGTCCTTGGCATCTCCGAGGCTTGCTCTTGCCTCTTGGCACCCCCTTCCTTCTGCAGGTGCTGGCACCCACCCCCAGGCCCTGCAGACGCAGGGAGGGGACAGTTCAGAGGCTCTCCGTGAGCTTTGGGGCCTGGGGCTGGCGCTGGAGAACTCACTCCTGGGCCGAGCACGCTGGGCCCACCTCTCTTGACTCCGGGGGCCCATGGACTTCGAGATGCAAGGCGGAGGCCTGGACCAGGCCTGGCTAATTCCACCAGAGACACTCAGCCACGCGTGATGGTTCCTTTGCAGTGACGGGCAGGGCCCACGAGCTAGGCGCTGGCGCTGGCAGAGCCACCTTATTGAAATAGCATGTTAGCATTTAAACAATATTAATACTATTTGACTCATTAAATATACAAAGGCCAGTTAAAGTGTTTCCATGTGTGTGCTGTTAGTTCTGGCCGGCGACTCTTCAGATGGCTTTATGTGGTTTCAGACAACATTTTAGCACATTCTTAAAATACCCACAAAAGCCTTTATGTAAAAACTCATAAATGGGAACCACATAAAAATTATTTTTTCCTGTTTCATGTCGTTATGATCAAAGTACAGTAGGTAAGAATAAATTTTCAGAAACTGGTCGAGATCCCCCTTTAATGAATGCTTCACGCGCAGAACACAGCTGTAAACTGGGGTGGGTGCAGGACACGTTGGTCTGGGCCCCACAGTCACCTCACAGGCTCGTGTTTCTGAGACATTCTAAACGGCCCTTCTGATGACTCAGCCCCTTTGTCTTAGAACTGAGGTGTGTGGCACTCCAGGCTCTGGAGATCCCTGTAGGTGAGTGGGATGCAAGTTTATTCTTTTTTTTGGGGGGGGGGGGAGGTGTCACACCCAGCAATGTTCAGAGGTTACTCCTGCCTCTGTACTCAGGAATTACCCCTGGTGGTGCTTGGGGGGACCATATGGGTTACCAGGGATTGAACTCGGGTCGGCCGTGTGCAAGGTAAACACCCTACCCGCTGTACTATCGCTCCAGCCTTCAAGTTTGTTCTTGAACCGCAGTGGTGCTGCAGCCAGGCCTGTGGGGAGCCAAGTTCCTGCTGGTCCGATCCCTCGGTGGGGGCAGCCCCATGTGAGGGCCACAGTGTGCTGTGGGCTGCTGCTGCCACCGGAACCCACTGTGTGGTCTGCTGGGGATCGAACCTGGGTTGGCCAGGTGAAGGCAAGCTCCTTACCTGCGGTAGTAGCTCTCCAGCCCCAGGAAAAGTCAGACTGTGAACTTGGGGTCTACACCAGGGAATGCCACCCCTGCTGTTAATACAGTCATGGAGCAGAGGTAGGAGGGGGGAGCAGGAGTGCCTGGTGCTGGGAAGAGGCCTGTACTTTGCCCCGTCACAGGGAGACGGAGCCTCTGGACAGAGATGGGAAGGGAGTTTGGAAAATTGGGTTAATGGATGAAGTTGATTTATGAAATTATGGGCTAACTGAAGACTTTCCCCTTTTCAAATGTTCTTGCAGTAATTATTTAATCAGAGAGCAAGAAATAGTAAAGTCACACAGGAATCTGACTCGAGCTGGCGTCTTCACCTTTTTGATGTCAGTCTGTGGGCCCGGTACCCGTAGCCCTGGAGGATGCCAGGGAGAAGCTGCCCAGAGTGCTGGACCATAGGGAAGGGGTGCCGGAGTGGACGGAGTGATCTCAGGGGAGGGACTGGAGGGGCCTACTGTGGCCACTCTTGCGCCCCCCCCCCCCCCCCCCCCCCGTGACATCTAGGGACAGAGACTGGCTTGTCTGGATCCAGCTCCTTCGCGTCCCCTGCCGTCTGACCCATGCTGGGCCCAGGGACCGGCGCCGGGTGTGTCCCACCAGCAGATGTGCAGCAGGCCTCCTGGGCAGGGCTGTGCGGCTCCGGGAGAGTGGGGCGTGGCGGCTGGCGGCAGTGGGATGGACGCGCAGGGCAGCAGGCCTCAGGAGGGACTGGGGGCACCCGGGGTCGCAGTGGATCCAAGCAAGGGAGCCCAGAGCTCGTGGCGGAGGGCGCAGGCTGCGCGCAAAAGCTTGTCGGTCTGGAGCAGCTCTAGATTTGGAAGTTACCCAAGAGGAGGAGAGGGGGTCTGGCGTTCCCTCGACCGCATCCTCTCTCAGCTTTGGCCTCGCCTCTCTGGTGCTTCTGGTCCCGGGAGCAGGACTGTGGCTCCAGGGGGAGCGTGTCTGTCTCTCAGAAAAGAGCAAAGACACTCGGGAATAAGACCGCAGGAAGAAGGGTGGCGTTCGCTGCGTTTGTTCTGCCCCGTGTCGCCTCTGCCTTTCAGCAGGCTGGGAAAGGCAGATTGTCCCTGTTCTGTAATGTCACAGGAGCCACAGCGCTGCGGACAGCACCTCCCAGTGGTTGTTGGAGAGCAAGGGTGTGGCTCAGAGAGGAGAGCGGAGCCTGCACGGGGCCACGCTGGGTTCACTGCTGAGTGCTGCTGAGTGTGGGTGGCGCCACCATCAGGCAGAGCGCGAGCATGGGGCTTGGCGGGAGGACCCTTCCCTGTGACTTGCCAGGGCCCCTCTGTCTCCACCTTCCAAGCCTCCTGCCTCGTGGCCCTTTCTCTTCTGGCCCCTCCCCCCAGCCTCTCCTCTCCTCCCGTCCCCCTCTTTTCCCTCCCCTCTCCTCCAGCCTCTCCTCTCATCTTCTCTCTCTCCCCTTCTCCTGTATTTATGTGTGTGTTTGTGTGTTTCGAACCACACCCTGCTCACTGCTCAGGACTGACTCCTGGCTGTGCGCTCAGGGATCACTCCTGGCGATGCTCTGGAAACCATTTGGGTTGCCTGGGTTGGCCATGTTGCAAAACAAGCGCCCCCTCCAATCTCTTCCGGCCACTTCTTTCCCTCTTACTTTTGATCTTGCTTAGGGAGTTCTCCATGTTGCCGCAGACCTGCAGACAGGGTTCTGTCCCAGGCACAGCCCCGGTGTTTGGCTGGTGTGGCAGCCAATTGCTTAAAGGCCGGACTCAAGCCCTGCTGTGCCTGGCTCTGGGGGACTGGGCTGGGGAGGGTTGGTGGCTTTGCTTTTCTTCTTTGCCTTGTGGTCACGTCGCTTTCCTTGAAGATAGGCAGAGCCCACAATAGAGGTTGCCAGGAATGGGACCCGCTGAGCGTGCTGCATGCCACACACTCTGCCTAGATCTGGGAGGGAAGCAGAAGTAGCTTCAGGTCAGTAAGCTTGCTCAAGGCTACAGAGTCGACTCGAGTAAGTGGCAGAGCTTACACACAAATGCATCTTGAGGCCTCCAAAGCCCTGGTTCTTTCTGTGACCCTTTAAAGATGCTGCAGCCCCTCTGCCAGCCACGGCAGATGAGGACACACCAAAGACTCAGTCCTGCAGCTGTCTGGGGAGGGTGCTGAACCCGAGGAGGCTGGCCCGACCGTAGGCAGCTGATCTGTCACTGACAAGCTAACAGGCTCGAGTTTTGTCTCCTGCAGGTATTTTGAAGGCGGCGTCTCATCTGTCTACCTCTGGGATCTGGATCATGGCTTTGCGGGAGTGATCCTCATAAAGAAGGCTGGAGATGGATCAAAGAAGATCAAAGGCTGCTGGGATTCCATCCACGTGGTGGAAGTGCAGGTGCTGCTCCAGCAGCTGGTGCCGGGCCCAGCTTCGTGCCCGCTGTCTGTCAGATGCCTTCTGGAGTGGGGAATACTGAGATACATTCCCCCTTACCTCACGGACCCCAGGCCTCTTTGGATAAAAGTCCACTGAGCAAAGTCGTCATTGAGATAAAGATCCCGCAGGGGTCCATTAGACATGATTGCAGGCTCTGCCCCCTTAACAGCCAGTCGGGACTTTAGAAGAAGGGGAATTTGAGTACAGTGGGTAGGGCACATGGCTGACCCGGGTTGAGTCCCCGATACCACCACATACCATCCCCAGAGTCCAAAGCTAGGAGTAAGCCTTGAGCATCACCGGGTGTGGTCCCAAAACAAAATCAAAAAACGAAGAAGGGGCATGAGCTGGTACTGTCTTCAGAAGGGACATAGGGTGATGCTGATTTCGGGCCCTTTTCATGAGGTAGGCTGGGGAGGTGCCACTCAAGTTCCCGTCTCTGCCTTGTCTCCCAGGAGAAATCCAGTGGCCGCACTGCCCACTACAAACTGACCTCCACAGTGATGCTGTGGCTGCAGACCAACAAATCTGGCTCGGGCACCATGAACCTCGGCGGCAGCCTTACCAGACAGGTTAGTAGCTTGTGCGCGGCAGCCAAGGAGGGGCTTGGCTGCGGGGTTCGGTCCCACAGGTCTGTGGTTCCTTGTGCCTGAGACGCCGTGGGGCAGGGGCGGGAGGGGGAAGCACCTCCCCCCAGCATGTTTGGAGTTGGTGTGAAGACTCTGGGTTGACAGTGACTGGCGGAAGTGTAACTCAGTCTTGCAGAGGGGTGGGGTGTCCACTCCGACTAGGTCAGACCACAGCGTGGGGACTCTACCAGGCTTGTGTCTCTGTGCCTGCCTCCCGGCTGCCCCTGGCCGATGTCTCCTGCCTCCAGTCTTGGAACAAAAGCTGTTCTTTCTCACAGGACTGTCCTCGACCCAGGCGTCATACTGGCCGGGCTAAGCTCATGCCTGATGTTAAATAGGGTGCTGGTGCCAGCGTCGGGACGCTGGCCCTGGGACGGTGTGTGCCCAGAGGTTGTCGAGCTCGCATCTGACTTTGAAAGGGAGGAGGGTGAGGGTGGTAGAGCCCCTGAGGTGGCCTTTGGCTGGAGGGGGAGAGGGGGACAGCCAGAAGGAGCAGAATCTCGAAAAGGGGAGATTCCACTAAAACAGGCTGACGAATGGGCTCACCTGTCACCTGCCTGGACGCGTGGCCAATATGCCTAGCTCAGTCTGGCCCTCTGTCCCCCCCCACCACACACAGACACAGCAGCCTGGCACCAGAATCCTCCGTGCAGGCCCTGGCAGGTCCCTGTCCAGAGCTCTGGACCCTCGGCTACGTTATAGGAGAAGTGAAATCGGGGCAGAGAGACAGTACAGCGCGCAGGCATTTCCCTTGCACGTCACGTGCTTGGATCTTGGATTTGATCCTCGCCACCACATCTGGTCCCCGAGTACCGTCAGGAGTTATCCCTGGACACAGAGTCCAGAGTAAGCCCCGAGCACCGCCAGGTGTGGCCCCAAAGCCAGAAAGAAAGAGAAGAACGTGAAGTCGGAGGTGCCTGAGCTTCGGGGTCTCGGCCCTGAAAGGGTCTGACAGTCCCCTTGGCCCGCCTCCCGCCCTGACAGAATCCTGCCACTCTTGCCTGCAAGGGAGCAGGGCTCTTTCAGCTTGGGATGCTGCCCGCCCTTTCCTGCGTACCACCAGCGTGCCCGGGATTGCTTCGACAGGTGCCTCTCGCTGCCCACTGGCGTGTTTCTGTCTCGCCTTAGTCTGCTTTTACTGGTTTTGCCCTTGACAGTTTCTCTGCACTCTGGCTCCCAGATCCCGGTGTTTGCATTCCTTCTGGCTCTGTGACTCACACATTTGCTGATGAGGTGGTCGCTCAGAGTTGTGTTCGGAGCTCTCTAGCGTGGTTTCTGTAGGGCAGAGCCTTGGCCGGGCAGACAGACTCCTTTCTTCCAGGCCGGCCTCTCTTAGCAATAAGTGAAGTGAGTGTAATGCATGTTCCCCAGGAAATGCCTGGGCAGAGCGGGAGTGTCCCTGCCCAGGACTCAGTGACCATGTGCCTGGTCAGGGCTCCCTCCAGCCCTGGGCCTCGGGCTGCGCTGGTACTGGAAGCAGAGCTCTGCTCCGTCCCCATCTGGGATGCCCAGCAGCCCCCACAGCCCCGCTAGAGACGGGGGGTGGGGGGCCCTGTCCAGAGTCAGACTCCCCACGCGAGTTCTGCGCACTTCCCCTTGAAGCTGAGGGGCTGGAGGTGAGGCTCAGCGAGGAGCAGATGTTTTGTATGTGTGCAGCCCCAGACTGAACCCCGGCCCACCCAAACCAGGAACAAAAACAGTGGCCGTGTTTGGACAAGGCTCCTGCGCACCTCGCTCTTGCTCACCTTTGCCCAGCTGTTGGCAGCTTCTCCGGGTGGGCTGCGGAGCTGGGCCAGAGGCAGAAAGTAGAGCTTGAACGGGAAGTGCTGCGTGCTTTAACCCTTGTGAAAGGAGGTCAGAGGCAGAGTCCAGGGGGCTGGGCGTTTTCTTTGCACTCGGCCGACCCTGGTTCCATCCCCAGCACCCTAATATGGTTGCTCCGAGCACTTCTGGGTGTGGCCCCCAAACAAACGAAAAGACCTTGCATAGGAGCCTTGTTTAAGACCCCTGAACCCACCTGAGGGAAGGCCTGAACCGTAGCATGTGAAAAAGAACAGGGGCCAGAGAGCTAGTGGAGCAGGTCAGGCGCGTGCCTTGCACACAGCCAGCCCAGGTTCTGTCTCTGACACCACACACGGTCTCCCATGCTCCACCAGGAGTAAGCCCTGACCACCACCAATTTTACCCCCACCCCCGAGAGAAAGAAAGGACAGTTCAGGGGAGGTCCTGTCTGCTTCCCTGTTACAGGCTGCGCGTGTGCCTGGTTTCCCAGAATAAGGCCCTCTCAGAAAAACTAGCAGAAAGTGTCCGCTCAGGGTGGTCCAGACAGGCCGCTCACCCTCAAGTGCCCTTCGTGTGGGAGGCCCTGAGTTTGACCCCCAGGGTTGGAGGGGTGGGGGGGTCTGTTTAGGAGCGCCTCCTTTTGGTGAGCTTGTTAGATTCTAGCAGTCACAGACGCATCTACACGTATTTGAGAAGGAGTCAGTGGGCCGGGATGCAGAGGGAACCCAAGGTTTCTCCTGCTGTGTCGGGGGGCCGGAAGGGGGCTCCAGGCTCCCCGGGGCAGAGCCCGCCGCTCTGTAGGGAGAGGGCCCTTGTTTTCCAGGAACCACTGACCAGCGAGGGGCGGCTGAACCCCCAGGCTGCCGGCTCTACCGCAGCCTGCCTCCCCCGCACCCTGCCACCTGGGGAGTGGTGGAAAATCCTAAATCCGCATCCGGAGAATGTTTCCTGCATCACTTACCACTCCCAACTGTTTATAATTCCACCCGGTTGATGGTGACCTGGACAAATATTGAATCCACAGCCTTCCGAATAGTCTAAATCAGAGCTGTCAGCCCAGGGCCAGGCTCTGGTTCCGGCTCGCTGGGAGCGGTGCCTCCTGCCAAGCCAAACGCGGGCCTGACGCGCGGCTGTCCTCGGCGCACCGGCCGGCCCCGGGCCTTGTTTGGATGGCCTTGTGTTCTCGGGCTTTCACGGGGAAATCCATGCTTCTGTCATCATCCCCACGGCCGCTCCCATAACTCATCTGAGGCGCATTAGGGCCAGGGCTGGTTTCCAACGTAAGTAACTGCAAAAGGAGGGCGGGGGAGGGGGACAGATCTAAGTTAATGATGCGCAGCTTCTGAGCGCAACGGGAAGTGAGGGCTGCGGGCTCAGTTATGTGTCCCAGATGAGCCCTGGAAAACTCTGTGGTTGCCTTGGATGGGAGATGAAGGGGTTCCCAGAAAGTGGAGCAAATCAGCGATAAAGAGTGAACATTCAGGGCTGCGCCAGCTGTCTCCTTGGATTAGACTGAGCGTGTAAGTTGCTGTTCCTATTGCACAGGTGAGGGCACGGAGGCTCAAGCTCCACTAGGGTTCAAACCCAGACCTGCGTGCCTTGGAAAACAGACTTTCTACCACGCCTGGGTTTCGGGATTTACTCCCACCCTGGGCCTGGCCTTTAGTCGACGCCCAAACTGCTCAGTGTCGTGGTGATCTCTGAGAGCCTTTCTCTCCTTCCGGCCAGGGGTGCAGCACATGGATCTGTGGCCCCAGAAACAGGCACAGGGGGTGAGGCCAAGCAGTGGAGGCCGGGGGAGGAGTGGTCCAGCCTCCCCTGGGGTGTGCTCAGCATCACCTCCCCTGGGCAGGTGCCTCCGCGTGGCTTGGAGGTTCATTCTCCCATGGGAAGCACAGCGTGAGCTGTGTCCCCCCAGGAGAGCGAGAGCCGTATCTGGACCGAGACACACCGTCAGGATTGTGTTCAGAGATGCACTCTGCCCGGCCGGCGTGAGGGCTTGCTGGGACAGACCTGGGGCTGGAGTCCAGACAAGCAGGTGATGGCCTCGGGCCAGGAGTAGAGAGGGAGGGCCACCCGCAGGCTGTGGGTGCTGGGGTTGGGAGAGTTGTCCCTCCTTCCGGTGTGCCAGCAGTGACCCAGGCCGTGGCGCTCCAGCTTCTGGCACCCAGGGTGGTCGCGGTCACTTACACTTGCCCCTGTGTGTCAAGCAGGAAGGGTCCCCTGTGGCCAGCACCCACTGCAGACCGTTGCCCGGGTTCAGACCATAGTGAGCAGAGTTCAGGCTCGGTCCCACAGCACCCACCCGGTCCTGGGCCATCTGTTTTTTTTTTTTTTCCCTTTGGTTTCAGTTTGGGGGCCACACCTAGAATGCTCAGGGCCCACTCCTGAATGTCAGTCTGCTCAGTGATCACTCCTGATGGGCTTGGGAGGCCATATTGGAGTACTGCACTATTGCCCGGCCCTCCTGTGCCGTCTGACCCAGGCTCGCCTTCCGGTGGCCAGGGGACCCAAGCAGAAAAGGTGGCGCCACCATATTAGCAGCAGTGGCTGTTGGGGCCCTCCCGTTTCACACCTGGTCTCCACAGCCGGTATCTTCCCGTGGTGAACTCAGCCCAGAGCCCCCGCCCGGCGAGTCACGAGAGTGTCAGTGGGACAGGACCACAGATAGACAGGGTCCCAGGAGCAAGTCTTGCACGGGGAGGAGGGCGGGAGATGCCCTTGGCAGGCGGCCAGGCCGCCCCGCGGGAGGTTGGGGAGCGGGGAGCACCGTGCATGCCAAGTACCAGCATGTGGAAAGGAGGTGGCTTCGCGAGGTCACTGCTCGGGGGGACAGCTGGAGACGTGGGAAAGAGGCGAGACTGTGAATCTCGGGAATGAGATCCAAGGTTTCCCATCCGGCCGGGCCCTGCAGATGTTCCTGGGATTCCCCCCCCCCCCCCCCCCCCACACACACACACATTTGGAGCTTTTATAAATGAAGGTGGAATGTGTTGTCGAGTGATGTGTGAGGCCGAGCACTTTGGATCGACTGGAAGGAGGCGCTGCCGGCTCGGCCGCCAGCCCAGGCACCCAGAGACTACAGGGCTGCGAATCCCAGCGCCTCAGAGTGTAGGTGGTGGAGAGCAGAGGGAGCCCCACCGAGCCCAGGGCACTCTGAACCTGCTTGCCCGGGTGGGCCTGCAGCTCCCACCACACCCACAGTCCTGTGCTCTGTGGCCACCTTTGGAAAGAAGGGGGTTTGAGAGCGCCCCGGTGGCCACCCCGTCAGGAAGGCAGGCTGGAGAGGGAGGGGGCCAGAGCTCCTGGGGATAGGGCGGAGGGTGGGCGAGGCTCCGAATTTCCAGGCCCTGGCTTGCGGTTTGTCCTTGGTTTTCACAGTAAAAAACAGGGATGAAGTTGAGCGAAGGAGAGGTCTCATGGAAGAAAACAGGTTTTGGAATGTTCCAGACCTCGGTCCTGATCCTAGCCTAGTCACTTTCCAGCTGTGTGACCTGGACAGGCCACTTCCCTCTCTGAGACCTCACCCCGCAGCTCCAGCGCCACTTTGGAGAGATTGTCGAGTGCAGTGGAAACCCATTTTGGCACGTGTCTTTTGCTCAGTGGATAGTAGCGGTCACTGCCACGGCCACTGGCCTACGTCTCCTAGAGCACTCTGCTAAACTGGCTGAGAGATTGACTGACCACCTCCCTCTGGATGGGCAGCAGGTTTCCTGCCCCGCTCCGACCCACAGCCCCGCTCAGCAACTGGGAGCGCCGCCGTGTAGGGGGAGCTGTCGGCCCCCACCAGCTCCCACTGCAGTGTGGGCTTGTGCAGGGGGCCTGGAGGGGCCTTCGGGTCCCCGGGAGACTGGGACCGAGGGACCTGCTTGCCATTGCTGTGTGGTGCTGTCGTCATTATTGCCCCCGCTCCCAGCTCCAGGCCACCGAGGGGAGGAGCTTAGTGGGGACCAGCAGGCTGGGCGCTGACTTCAGTCTCATTTGGAACCTCCTGGTGGAACATCTGTGCAGCCACAGCACATAAAAATGTTTGCCTTCTGGCAGCCACTTTTATAAGGATGTAATAATATATGCATTGCAAAAATAGTTTTGTTTGTGGCGAGTCAGCCTTGCCAGCAGGCTGACCCTGACCAGGTGTGGAGGTTGCCGGCAGGGGTGTGGGTGAGGAGGGCTGTGGAAACAGGCTCGCGCGTGCCAAGTCCTGCTGCCCCTCCAGCCAGCTTCCTTCCCTCCCACATCCCTGCTCGGCCGAGGGCCCCATGTCCGGCTCCCCGCTCTCTCGGTTTCCCTCCTCCAACCCCCACAGCCGCCTCGGCCCTGCTGCTCATTCTGATGGGGCTCATCAGAGCCGAGCGCTGAGGGGGAGCGTGGCCAGGACATCACTTTCCTGGGGGACCCGGCGCCCCGCAGCCGGCTTCCCTGGGGCTGTTGCTGCACCTTCGGAGCAGGGATGGATCCCAGCAGAGTACACTCTCCCTTGCCCGCTGCTCTGCCCTTGGAAGGACACAGTGCCCTCTCTGTGTGGGGGTCCGCAGAGCCCGCAGCTCCTGCATGCAGGGGCAGGTGGCGCACACTGCTCCCCGAGCATCTTGGTTGGCCGGGTCCCCCCAGGCCAGGAGGGCCTGGGGCAGCCAGCAATCCCTCCCCGAGTTGGGAGAGTGCCATGCCTCACTGAGCTGGTCAGTGCCACAGGGCACGAGCATTGTCTGCCTAAACTCGCCGAGAGCACGGGACTCTGCTCAGGTCTTTTCCTGCTACCTGATCAGGCAGCAGATCACCTGATGGCTTTTCCTGTTAACTCGGATCAGAAGTAGGAGGGTCCCTGTGAAGACAGAGTGGAAGCGCTCTGAGCTGGGAAGCAGTTGCCATTCTGTTGGTTAGCCCCCATGTCTGGTGATCCTTATGGTCAGGTGTGCCCTGGGGCTGTCGGTGGGTGCTGCTGACCCTTAATGCTGCCAGGGATGGAAGCAGCTGAGGCTGGTGCTCTGTTTCCGAGAAGGGCACCTGCAGCTCCATCTAGGCGACGTGAGCGGTGCTCTGCTCTCGACGTGTGCCCATGTGACGGTCCCCGTCAGGCTGGAGGTGAATTTCCAGCTCTGATCTTTCTGCTGTTCCGGAGACAGGACGCCTCTGGGTCTCAGTGGGACTGGATTAGCAGGGGGGAGGGCGCTGATGCAGGAGAGGGGCCTGCGGGGGTGGGGGCAGCACAGTGGGGTGGGCTTCTGTTGGGAGTCAGACATGACCTGGCTTGGATTTGATGGGAGGGGACTGGAGCCCCAGGGCCGCCTTTCCCCAGAACCCCGCCAGCCCCGGAGGCTCTGCTGTGGTGGCACCCAGCCGCACAGTATCGCACAGCTGCGTCTCCTGGCCACCCTGTGACTCAGGCCCCAGTCTGCCAGTGTCGGGCACCCCACCGGTCTGCCTGGAGGGGGACCTCTGGCTTCTGGCCGGCATTCCATGGCCTGTACTTGCCACAGTTTGGTGTCTCAGCTCACCGTTGCAGGGGTGCTGGCCCCTCCAGCAGCGGGCTTTGCCTCGGCCGAGGCTCCTCTCCCTGACGGCGGCCCTGACTGTGGAATCTCTTCATCTTTTGCAGATGGAGAAGGATGAAACTGTGAGCGACTGCTCCCCACACATAGCCAACATCGGGCGTCTGGTAGAGGTGAGTGGGGACAGTCCCTGGAAGCCCGGATGAAGCCTGCTGGCCTCTCGGCCCGCGTTCCCCTCCAGCCCGGCCAGTGGCCGCATGCATATCCCTCGCCTTCCCGGAGGCCTGGGCGCCTTGGTCCGTGGGGGGCTTTGCAGGGCTGTCTGGGCAGCCCCTTTCCGCTCCCTGTTTGGGACAAAGGAGGTGCTCTCGGGTTTCACAGCGGGGGGTGAGACCCCGCACGCAGGGCGATGGGGCTTAGATCACCTTCCAGTAATGGTCAGCCCAGGGTTGGCTTCCACCCTGCCCAGGAGAGGAGCGGGGTGAGAGGTGGGACTCGGCCGCGCCAGGCTTCCCAGCTGTGGCGCAGTCGTGTGCCTCCCCCTTGTGGTGGCGGTGGGCACTGCAGGGCCGGCTGGTGGGGCTGGATCCTGCCCCTCTCTGCTGGCCCTATCTGACTGTGCTCCCTTCCCAGGACATGGAGAATAAAATCAGGAGTACGCTGAATGAGATCTACTTCGGGAAAACAAAGGATATCGTCAATGGGCTGAGGTAATGTATCCAGAAAGTTCCAGTTGGAACCAGCAGGATGAGGATCGATGGGTCCTTAGGTGATGTGAGAGTGGCCCGAGCCTCCGTGTGCTCGCTGGTGCCTGCTGCAGGTCGTGGCCTCTTGGCGTGGCCACCCCTGGACTCGCCCCCTGTGCTCTCAGGATGGCTGCGTCCTGTGTGGGAGCCCCTTCCTGCTGCTCTCCCCTTCCCGTGGAAGCACGCAGGGGAGGCCACGGGCCCTAACGTCAGGGCTGGGCTCCTGTGCCATGGGAGACCTCCTCGTCTACTCCAAGAGATGGTGCGAGGGCGGCTGAGCCAGGCACTGCCCACAGAGTCCAGTGTTGCGCCCTCTGTCACACTGCATGACACACCCCCCGTGCCTCGTCCGCATCTCTCTGGAGGTGACCTGGGGTTCATCGTTGTTGTTTTTGTGTTTTTGTTTTGTTTTATTTTGTTACTTGTTGCTATGGGTCACACCCGGCAGTGCTGGGGGGGGGGTGGCATATGGGATGCAAGGATCAAACCTGGGTCGGTGGCGTGCAAGCCCTTCCTGCTCTACTATTGTTCCAGCCCCCCTGGGGTCCGTTTGCTCAGTAGATTAGTCTCTTTGACCTACTCCCTTTTTCAGCACTACTGGTCAAGCCTCATACAGACAGTCGCACCCCCTCCTCTGTTCGTTTGGGGGCTGCAGTGTAGTGCCCAGGTGCCCCTCCCCACTGTGCCCTTCACCCACCCCTTCTTGACATTTTAAAAATGGCGCAGGGTACCCTTGGACTCTCCTTTTTGCTTGTCCTGCATGGGGCTGGCCGGCCCGGGGGTTCAGCATTCTTTGGCCTTCCCCTTTTCTTTGTGCACAGCCAGTAATGCCTGCAGGGCTGTCCCGGAGCCCTGAGGTGCTGGGGGTGAGGCCCCAGGTGCCGTCATACAGCTATGCTCCAGCCCTTGGCTCTACGCCCAGTGCTCCTGGAGGAGTGCGAAGAGCCCCTTGGACCCACCGCACCGGCCCCCCAGTGGTCCTACCCGCTCACCCTCTAGTGCTCTGGCTGATGGAGGGAGAGGGGCCCTGCCCTGGGGGTGGGCGTGAGCTCCCCGCCTGCGTCCACGCAGCGGCCCGGCCGTGGCCTGGGTGACGTCGCCCTCTCTCTCCTGCCTGTGTGTGCCTTGTATCTCCTCTCAGCTGTCACCTCACCCTGTGTGCCCTCCCCTCGCTGCTCTCATCTCTGAACACTCTCTGTAGATCTGTTGACGTTATCCCCGACAACCCCAAGTTTCAGCAGTTGCAGAGGGAGCTTTCCCAAGTGCTGACCCAGCGCCAGATCCACATCCAGCCTGATAATTAGCCGGCCCAGGTACCCTGCCCGGGAGGCGCCAGTGCCACCACTAAACAGGACTCACCAACCGGCCAGGACCCCGCCAGTCTGGCGCGTCCCGTGTGGCTCCCTAAACCACCACTAACCCATGGGGGCTAACGGCTGTGGGCAGCCACGTAACCCCTGGGCTCAGCCCCACATGACATGGCACGTGTGTGGGGCGTGTGCTTTACCCTGGGCGGGGCGGGCGGGGGGAGCTTCTGCTCTTGAAGCAGCTGCTCGTCTGTGCTGCTCTGGCCCGCCTCAGAGCCAGGGTCCCTGCCGGCCTCCCATCCCCCACAGCCTGTGACTGCTGCCAGTCCTCCCTGCTTTGCCACCGAGGACTCCAGAAGCCAGATGGCCCCCTTCTCAGTGGAAAAGGCGCCGTTTGGAGTGTCTCACTCCAAGTCTGAATGGCCGAGCAGCACCTGGAACCCCCTGGCCAGGCGTGGTGCAGCCCAGACTGGTCGCTGCTGGAGCTCCGGGGATCAGCCTAACTGGTGCCTCTGACGCGCTGTGGCTGTGCCCCTACTTACCTCGTGCTGGTTGATCCTGGATGACAGCCCTGGCTGGAGCTGGGACAGGGACAGATGTTACACAGCAGCATCCTGGGGAGGAGGAGGGAACTGACTTTAATTTAAAAAAAAAAAAAAGCGTTTGGCAGCCCCGGGCCAGGCCAGACCCAGAGAGGCCTGGTCTGTGGGTGCCAGCCAAGGGAGCAGTTGGCCTGGGACCCTCCTGCTTCCGCCAGCTCAGGAGGGAAGCCCCCTCCTTTTTCCAGGGGTGAGGGTGCCATTTGGGACACACCGTGGTGCTCGGGGCCTAGTCCTGGCTCTGTGCTCCAGGCCGTTGTTGGCCATTCTTGAACTCCAGGGAGCAAGCCAAGGTTGGCCCCAAACCAGGCAAGTGCCTCAGCTCCTCCACCATCTCTCCGGCCCAGGAGCCCCTTCTTCAGGGACTTAGGGATGGTGCTGTTCGTGCTCCCACCCCTCTACCTTTCGGATGGGTCTGCGGCCTTGGGCCTCTGCAGCAGACGCCCGGCCCCGACTCGTGGCCTCTTGGCCGTGACCATTCCGAGTTCAGCCTGCGAGTACCCTGCTCCTCGTGCTCGGACTCAGAAATCTTCTCCTGGGGCAGGCCGGGATCCTGTGCTGCTTCCATCCGAGGGGAGAGGTCACGTTCCTCTCCTGGGGAGCGCTGCTTGGAGCATTGCCGTGGATTCAGGACATCTGGAGCCTCGGGGGGGTCCCATGGCTGGCCCCCAACGCCAGGGCAACCCAGAGCACTTCTCAGAAATGGAAATTTTGCCAGCAGCAACCAGCTTTCTTATGGAGATTATTTTAGTTCCATGGATTCTTTCAAAGTCTTGTCTCTTGCTCCTTCCTCTTGCCACTTTGCAAATAACTTTCCATTGATGCTCTCTAATTTGGTACAGGGGTTAGCCTGGAGGGGCCAGAGAGAGTGCAGTGGGTAAGGCACTTGCCTTGCACTTAGCTGACCTGGTTTGATCCCTGGCACCACAAATGGTCCCCTGCGCACTGCTGGGTGGGACCCAGAGGAAGGAAAAGAAAGGTAGCCTGCCTGGATGCTGTGGACTTTTCCACTCCTGACTCCTTTTCGTTTTCTGATTTTTCTCTCTTTTATTTGGGGGCCAGACTCCCTGGTGCCCAGGGGTCGTTGCCGGTTGTGCTCAGAGAACCCCTGAGTGCCAGGGATGGAACCCGAGCCTCCCACTTGCACTCCCTGCAGTGCGGCACCCGCTGCCACCCTCTCCCCGGGCGCCTGCCAACCATTCTTCTCCCCCCCGACAGGTCTGTGCAGACTTTCGCTGACAAATCAAAACAAGAAGCTCTCAAGAACGACCTGGTGGAGGCTTTGAAGAGAAAGCAGCAGTGTTAAACCTCTGCTTCCCGCTAACCGGACACCATGCACTCGTTAGAGTCCTTTCTTAGAAACTCGTTTTCTGCTCCCTTCCCTCGCCCCCGCTCTCCCCACAGGTCACGTAACAGCTCGCATCACGACGCATAGCGCCTTGGCTCCCGAATAAAGCCTGAGCACCCTCCTGTCTCTGAGGCCCTCCTCGCCACCACGTTCGCGCTCGAGGCGCGCGGTTTCCGCAGAGACCATGTGGTTTTCGTTTGCCTCCCGTCCCTCCCCGGCCCCATTTCTAGGCATAAAAGCACCGTCTGCCGCCCCTCCCCGCTCCCGCCTTTTTGTTACATTGGTGTAAAAAATGTAAAACAAAAAATTTTATGAACTGTGGTGTGTGAAAGATAGAAGAAAAAACTGGAAATCTGATTCCATGTGTGCTTGGGAGTTGCTTGGGGCTGGGGGGCTGTGGGGGGCGGGGGCAGCTCTGGAGCAGGGAGGCCCTCAGCATCGTCCCGCACGCACTGGCCCTTGTCCCACGGAGACCACGCGGGGGGCGGGTGGGGGGCGGGGACCTGCCGACCGTTCTGCTCTTCTGGCCAGGTGCTTTTCTGTCAATTTTTATGGAATGCAAAGGAGTTTTTTTTTTTTCTTTTGTTTTATTTTGGTTTTTTTTGTAAAGCTTAAAAAAAAATCTACATCTTATACTTGAGCTTCCATACTTAAAAAAAAAAAAGAAAAAACACACACAAAAAAAATAAAAACAAACTGGGACGCAAATAGCGTTGGTCTCGTTTTTCCTCGCCCACCAAGCACGTATGCCCAGACTGCCGCCTCGTGGGACACACCCCCCGCCCCCACCCCTGGGGTTGTGGTGGCCCAAGCAGGGCTTCATGCAGAGGTGCTGGGTGAGGATTTGTGGTGCGTCCCTGAGAGGGATGGGTGCCAGGCCAAAGTGGTCCAGAACATACTGCATGTGTTTTGAGGCTGAGCCGGGCCATGGGGGCAATGGGGTTCCCTTGCCTGGGGGAGAGCGGTGCTAGGTGCTCTGCCCCAAGACTCAAGACATTTTCTCAAAGTGCCCTTTGCTTGCCACCAGCAGAACGGGAAGAAGCTGTGGAATAGGTGGGTGGCAGGAGCCTTCTGGCCTTGCTAGCTGGGTACCCCAAGGGCCAGCGGTGGTTTTCATCCTACAGAGTGGCCGCTCTGGAAGGCCCGCCGTAGCCATGGCCTTCTGGGCAGCCTCCTGGGACCCCGCCTGAGGGGCTGCTGGGGCTGCCATCCTTTGGGGCCACATCTCTGTCGTGGGTTCCCATCACTAAGCACCGCAGGGTGGCAGGGCAGGCACTGTGGACATGTACCTGAGAGCTGCCTCGGTGCCACCCCCTCAATGCAGTGCAGTCAGGGTACCCCCCCTTAGTGGCCCTCGGCAGCCCTTGAAGATGTTTCCACCGGAAGGATATCCCTGGAGCAGACAACTCCTTCGTGCCGACTCCCCCCTTCTCCCCTCCGAGTACCTCCACCTGCCAGTAGCTTCCTCTCTGGCTGGCATAAGGGGTGGGCAGTTCCTGGCCACCAGTGACCCAAGGAGGCAGGTCAAGCATAGGTCAACATTCACCTTGAACCCTCATGACCAATGCAAGGGGCCTGAGGTCTCCTACTGGCCAGCGTGCAAGAGCCCAGGAGGACCAGTCTCAGCGCCAGACTTCACTAGGACCCGAGAGACAGTTCAGGGGTGAAAACACATGTTCCACATGGAGCAGATCCCATTCTGATCCTCAGTACCACACAGGGTCCCCCGAGCACCCCCGAGAGTGACCCCTGAGCACAGGTTCAAGAATAGCCCCTCAGTACCATGGATGTAGCCCAACAACCAAACCACCCTTTCCCAAAACGTAAGCTCATTATCACTTTTACTCATTACTTCAGAAGATAAAATTCAGAATATAAGGAATCATGAACTCAAGAAATACAGATTCTGAAGTTTGTGCTCTAGTTAGGTTTTATTCGAACTTTTTTCCTAGTTTATTTTTGGTCGCTATTTTGGGAAATGACACTCCGGCTCTCACACATGCCAAGCCTGTGCTCTCACTTAAGTCTTTCACATTTTTTTATGTGAGATAAAAAAAGGTTTTTGTTTGGGGGCCACATCCAGCGGCACTTGGGGCTTAGTCCTAGCTCTCTACTCAGGGATCCTGGCAGATTCAGGGAACTGGATGTTGTGACAAGGATCATACCCAGGTGAACCACATTAGAGGCAAGTGCCTTGACCTTACATTATCTCTCTGGCCCATATTTGATTAGTAAGTCTAATGGACATTTCCAAGTAAAGGGTGTCAGTAGAACAAGGAAGCGTTTTTCACAGGGCTTCTCTTCCTGAATGATTCGTTTATTTTGAGGGTCCTATGTACTCAGACATGAATGTGATCAAAGTATTTTTCACGAGGCTGGAGCAATAGCACAGCGGGGAGGGCGTTTGCCTTGCATGCGGCTGACCTGGGTTCAATTCCCAGCATCCCATATGGTCCCTGAGCACCGCCAGGAGTAATTCCTGAGTGCATGAGCCAGGAGTAACCCCCTGTGCATTGCCAGGTGTGACCCAAAAAGCCAAAAAAAGTATTTTTCACACAACTGACAATACATTCCATGCATTCTGGATTCTTCCCATGATTTTCACTTATTTTTGTGTGCCAGGCAGAGTCAGATAGAGTTGCCAAGATCATACTGGCTGCATTTGACCAGGAGCTAGGAGCTGTTCTTAGCCAATGCTGTCTCTCGAGAGCCTGAGTCTTTTAAAAACAATGTCACGGGCAGGAGCAATAGTACAACGGGTAGGGCACTTGCTTTGTGCGCCAGCCTACCTTTAAGATCCTCTGAGCATTGTTGGGTGTGGCCCAATTATGCTACAGAGCTCTGGATCCCGCTCTCCGATGGGAGAGCCTTTTCAATCTGGATCCATGCTCTGTTGAATGAACAGACCACGCCATATGTTTATCTCATGTCGACTCATCCAGTGGATAAAATACTGTATTTCTCTCATTCCTAACCACTCTTCCTGACAGATCAGACCCTGGGTAACAGTGGTAAATGTCCACAGGTCGTAGAAGGCCCACAAGATCACACGGCCTGGCCCTGGTGCATGATGGGACAGATACGGTTGCTTCCCATTGGCTGCCCACGACCCATCTGCCTGTATGTCTGGCCCACAAATGATGTCACACATACGCAAAAGGGCTTGGGAAAATAAGTTCAAGCTTTGGAAGGACTGTCTCCAGATTACATACAAGTAACTTTAGGAGAAACAAAAGCGGAAGATGTGATGTGGTTCTCAGTACCAAATAATTTCCCGTTCACATTTTAATAGCTAATTTGGTATTCAAATACTTTTGCGGAACTGTAATCCACACACAGTTTGCCCATTTGAAGTGTACAGATTTGGGAGCGAGAGATAAGGTGCTTGCGTGCCTTGCATGTGGTCAGCCCCAGTTCAATACCCAGCACCGTGTGTGTTCGCTGAACACCATCAGAAAAGACAGCTGAGCACTGAGCCAGGAGTGGTCCTTGGGCACAGCTGGCGGTGGCCTAAAACTCCCAATAGAGTGCCAATTTAAGGTTTGAGATGAGTTCAAGAGCTGCATGTGTGCTCTGCACGTGGGAGGCCCTGGGTTTGGTCCCCTGACACCGCATGGTCCCCTGAGCACCGCCAGGAGCAAACCCCAAGCACGGAGCCAGAAGCAGCCCCTGAGCACTTCCTGAGGCTCCCAAAGCACAAATAGAGTGGTAAGAAGCATCCGGACTTAACTGCTCTTGCTTGCATGCTCCTCCTCTCAGACTGAGACGTGTTTCTGGCATCCGCTGCATGCCTTTCCCAAACATTTACTGCACACTCCCTGGGTACCAGGGGGGTGAAGATGAAGGAGCCTGGCCAGCGCATTTGGGAAATGGTGCGGGGGCAGGGGCATTTATTATAAGCAGCGGCCTGTGGAGCAGGTGCGGGGGGAAAAGCTGCTGGGGGGCGGCCGTGTCCTGGGGCAGTCACAGGGCTGGGACTCTGGTCCCCAGGTAACGGCTGACCGGGTTCCCTGAAGCCTTGGGCAGCTCTGCCCCAGCCCCCCTCTGCTCCCCAGGGGCCTTCTGAGAAGCCTCCCACAAAAAGGCAGCTGGCTAGCTGGGAAGCACAGCACCCCGAAAATGGAACCTGATCTGCGGGGTTGGTGTGTGTGTGTGGGGGTGGAATTCTACTTCATGCAGAGGAAGGGTCTAAGGTTGGGTTTATTCCTCCATGTCACACCCTCTCCCGGGGGGGTGGGGGGGAAACTCCCTACCAGATCCAAGAGAAGCCTGGTTCCTTCACGATAGGCCGGCCCACCCGCAGCAAACGGGGTGCTACCCACTGGACCTCTCTCCTGCTCTCCAGGTGGACCCCGCAGCTGTGGGGTCTGGGGCACCTAAGGGCTGTGCTCATTCGGCCCCACAAATGGGCTTCCCAGCAGCCATGTGCACACCTCCCAGCAGGGCCTGCCTCCCAGGCATGATGAGAGGCTGAGACTGGGTGTTCCCGCCGGATGAGGCTCCCCCAGAGCAGGGATATTCTCTCAACCCCTGAATCCAGGCTCAGGCTGTCGGACCTCCCTGGGGTCTGCAGGGGAGGGAGGCTGCCACCTGGCCGGCAGGTGCCCGGCCAGGAGCATGGACACAGATTAGCCATGCAGCAAACCAGGCACGCCTGGACCCCAGTAGCTGGGGGCCGACTCCAGGGCACCTTCTGCTGAAGTCCCTGCCTGGGGGGAGAGTGGGGTCTTTCTGAGCTCAGCGGGGCTGGACAGAAGCTGAGGCACAGGCTGGGGAGGAAGGGCTGAGGGGGCTGAGGGGACTCAGGGTCCCCTAGGGGTCCCAACAGTCTCCACTGTTGATAAACTTCAGCCAACCCTCTGAGTGGCCACCATCATCATAGCACCAACTCCGAGGGGCTGAGATGAGACACAGGGTCCCCTTCCTGTGGGCTCAGGACACATGGTCACGTGTGAATGCCCAGCGCCCTGCAGTGGGCCCCAAAGCCTGCCACAGCCCCTCCCTATTCTCTTCACACCCCATTTCTCTCCTTCCTTCCCCCAACCAAACTCAGTCCACGGCTGAAACCTGCCCCAGCTGCCCCCCCTTGGTCCTGCCCCTGATTTGCCTTCCAAATGTCATCTGAGGCCACTCCTCCCATAGCTGCATCTCCTTGCAGCCCAGCCTGCATCTCCTGGGGCTGGTGGCCTCTATTGGGAAGCCCTGTCCAGCCTTCCCACCCCACAGTACAGAGGGGGCCTAGAAGGGGGAGGGGGTGGGGGAGCTGCACTCCCTGGGGCACGCTAGCTCTTTAGAGGCGGAAGTTCTAGTGTGAGGCTCCTTGCTCGGGTGCCACGAGAAAATTCTAAAACAAAGGTTCACACTGGGCTAGAGAGACGGTGCAGAGCGGGGAGCACAGGATCTGCATGTGGGAAGCATCCTATCCCTGGCGTCACCAGACCACCACCAAGTGTGCCCCCCAAACCAACAAAGTAAAAAAGGCATGACTCACACCCACACCTGCCTGCCAAGATGCTCCAGCCCTGGGGTGGTGGGTCAGGCTGGCAGAGGGGAGATGGGCCCTTTGTCCTCAGAGCACTCAAGGTCAAAGCCCACGGGGCAGTGGACTCAGAACTGGGTCTGGGAGAGAAACTAAATTGGAAGCCAGGAAGGAGAATGCTGGGCTAAGCCCCGCCCTCCACTTCCTGGTGTCCACAACACTCCCCTGGGTCTGCAGCCATCTCCGACTCACTCTACACCACGTCACCTCCCCTGGGAAGCTCTCCCTGGTCCTCAGGGAGATCTGAACACCCCTCTCTCCTTCCTTTGATCTTTTTCTGAAAAGTTTCAATTTTCGATTTTTGGGCCACACTGGGAAATGCTCAGGGGTTACTCCTGGTTCTGTACTCAGGAACCACTCACTCCTGGGTGGTGCTTGGGGGAATCATACGGGATGCTGGAAATCGAACCCGGGTTGCCACCTTCAAGCCCTGCCCACTGTACTAGTATTCCAGGCCTCTTCTGATCATTCTGATAATGACCAAAAGGAAAAAAAAAAGAAAGGTCTGGGGATGACCTTTATTGAGCTCTCACTCCGTGAACAGACCCTAGGGCTGAGCTCCACAATGCCACCATCTTACAAGAAAGAAGGAAGCAGTTGCAATGCCATCCCATTACACAGATGGGGACAAGTGAGGCCCAGAGCAGCAGAGATTCAAGAACCCAGATCTGCGCCCCTTCTCCCTGAGCACAACAACGCAGGGGCCTGATGGGTGGCCTCACTGTCACCAGGGGCAGAGTCGTCATAGAGACACACACTGGGGAAGAGGCCCTCTCCTTGCCCTCCTGCTCAGCACCCCACCTGGGACCTAGAGTGCAGACCAGATCCCTCCCTGCTGCCGTGCCCCAGCACCTGGGGGAAGGAGCAAGAGGGGCTGGTCGCAGATGCCCTTTACTAGTCGTCTGGAGTCCGTGGGGCTGAGCAGGGCACCAGCCACGCATCCCGGGCGAGCAGGCAGAATGAGGTAGGTGGGCCGGGGGGCTGCATGCTCGGGTTCCTGCAGCAACCCCCGTGGGAGGCCCCAACAGTGGAGACTGAGCCTGAATCCCTGGTGCTGAAGATTCTCAAGGGCAACGGGGGAAGAGCTGGCCTGCTGGGGGGTGGGGGGGCAGGCAGCCCAGTGCCTGCCCAGTGCTTGGGCCCTGCAGCACCTCTCCGGTCCATGCTGTGTCCTTCCTGGGAGTGGCCTCTGGAAGTCACTGTCATCCTGGGCCAGTCCAGGTCCTGATCAGCTCTGGAGGAGAGGCCGGCGTTCCGAGGAGGTGGCGGTGGTGTCTGTGTTCCTGTATATCAGGAACTGAATGGAGATCTGGGGGCCACGTCAAGGTCACGGTGAGCAGAGATGGTTGGGCCCACCTGGCCCGCACTGCCTCCCTCCTCTCTCTCAGCCACGCTCGGGCAGGGAACGGGCAGCCATGCCCTCTGCTCACTGGCACCCTCCGTGGAAGCCGCCCCGTGGCTCCATCGTGCCAAACTCCACTCATCTTCCGTGGCTAGAGTCAGGATTTCAGGGTTTCCTCCCCCCACCCCCCCGGCCCGGAGCCCACGGCTTCTCCTTCCTCCCTGCATCCTGGGTATCTCAGGAAAGGGCTCGGGCCATCTGGGGGGTGGGGGGGGGTTCACGCATCAGAGCATCAGTCTCTTTCTGCTGGCACCCAGCACATGAGAAACAAAGGAGATCTCCAAATAGTGCCCTGGTCTGTCAAACTTTTCCTGAGTGCCCAATGGGTGCTGGTCAAAAGGCTTTTGGGGGGGAACACCTTTTCTTAGGTGATCATCCCATCATCTTGGTGGGACCATGGCTGTTAGGGGCCCCACACAGATGAAGATGCAGGAGCACAGAGAAGTTAATAGTTTGTCCCGTGTGGCATAGCTCTGAGGCAGGATGTGAACCCGTTGCATGAGCTAGGCGTAGAACATGCCTCCCTTTCTGAGTGGGTGGACTGATGCATGCATGGATGGATGGGTGTGTGGACAGATGGGTGGGTGGGTAGGTGGTAGGACAGATGGGTGGGTGGATAAAGGAGTGAGTGGATAGATGGGTGGGTGGATGGGTGGAAGTGGGTGCGTGGGGGGGACTAGATGGATGGATGCATGGATGATGGGTGGGTGGGTGGATGGGTGGATGCATAAAGGAGTGGATAGACGGGTGGGTGGATGGGTGCAGGTGGGTGTATGGATGATGGGTGGGTGGGTGGGTGGACAGATGGGTATCAAGTAGATGGGTAGAAGGATGAAAGGGACGGAAAGATGCACGAACAGGAGGCTGGATGGACAGGTGGACAAACGGATGGACGGGCAGATCCTGTGAGGGAGAGGCCCCACCCCCGGCCCCTCCTGAAGGATACGATGGTGTCCAGCAGCAGCACGCCCAGGCTGCCCACGAGCCAGGGCAGGTGGTGCAGCAGGTAGCTGCCCTCGCTCTCGCCCTCCTCGGGGTTCTTGAGCAGCACACTCAGTCCGTACAGCGTGTTCCCCAGCATGACCAGGGCGAACAGCGAGTAGGAGACGCCCTGGGTAGACTGCCGCAGGAACTGGAGGCGGGGAGGGCGCGGGCGCGTCAGGAGGGACCCGGAGGCCCCTCTCGCCGAGCACCGGGCTGCAATCCCGTGCCCAGGGTCCTACTGGGGCTTGGCTCATGCCCGCCCATCTACAGCTGGAACCGCATCCCTGCCTATGCCCAGGACCCTGCCGGGCCCACCCACCGTGCCTGTATCGCTCTTGCTAGCCAGTGCTGCCCGATTGTTTTCTGTAAGTCCCCCCACCCCCACACCGCCACTTCCCACTTTCTCCTAAACTTCTCCCCTGACCTGCCCGACACATGGGTGACAGGTGCCTCTCCAGGGCCAACAAACGCATACCCATTCTCCAGAGACAGAAACTGAGTCTTGGAGGGGAGGTCAGCTGAACTTGCCCACTGTGGGTGCAGACAGCCAGACTCCGCTGCTCCTTAACCCCGACACCCACCTCCCCCTCTTACATGGAACTTCCCCCCTACCCCACAAACTCCACCCCTGCCCTGGGCTCACATTGGTGCGGATCTGCGGCAGCCTGGACAGCAGGTACAGCACGCTGGACACAGAGCCGATGGCGAAGCCAACGATCTCCTTCCGGGTGAAGGGCTGAGGGCGCAGCAGGGGTGCTCAGTGCGGGGGGAGGGGTGAAGAGGGGGCCCCCCCATGCAGGGCGAGCTCCCCTCTCCTAGAGGGCACCCCCACCCTGTGCCTGGGCCTCTCCCCGCATCCCATCCTCCTCTCACCTTATTTCCTGGCTCCACCGACAGGAGCGCGCGGCCCCGGAAGACCTCTGCCGGCGCAGCCCTGGGGCGGGGGACGCTCAGCAGTGGGGCGACACAGGCCATGGCCAGCGTGAACAGGAGCACAGCGTTGATGGGGGTGGACACTGGACATGGGCAGGAGGAAGCTGGGGTTAGTGTTTCAGCCTCCGCCTAGATAGAACCTAGGCCCCGAGACCCAGCCAAAAAAAAAAAAAAACACCCGGGTGGCCGACTCACTGTGTGATCCTGGGCAGATGACCTAACCTCTCTGAGCCTGGCCCCTCCTCTGTCAATAGACTGAGCAGCAGGACCCCTCTCCCGAGCTGGAGAGGTGAAACCAGGAGGGTGAGGGATGGGGGATGGGTAGGAGGGAACTTCTTCAAAGCAGAAAGGCAGATGGAACCCCCCTCCCACTGCAGCCTCCAGCTCCTCATGGTCCGGTGAGGCCACAGGGCAGGGATGAGTCTCCCTGCTCCGGGCGGGCGCACGGGAGGAGCCGCGGCAGCGGGTGGGAAGCTGCCCCTGCGGTCTGGCCGGATGTCTCATTGCCCTGTTTCCCCATCGGCATCCCTATCGCGGCTGATGGGCTGATGGGCTGATGGGGCTCAGGCTTCCAGATAAGGCCTAGGAAGCCTCTTTGAGGTTTGGCTTATCAGCAGCAAGGGGGAAAATACTTCCCCCTGCGCAGATCGGCTCTCTCCCAGCCCTGCCCTGTTTCCAGAGTGCCTGGCGCAGGCGGCACAGGTGGGAGTGGGGTGGGCAGCACACTCACACAGAGAGGGGCGTTTCTTAAACTTGTAGTGGAAGTACAGCGACAGCATCAGCAGGTCTGCCAGGACGTAATACACGGCCGTGTAGGTCTGCGAGAGAAGCGGAGGGAGGATCAGGGGGTGCGGCGCGGTTGCACCGCCGGACTTGGGGGCACCACAGGCGGGCACGGGCGCTGTGTTTGACCATGCCCTGGCAGGGCGTTTGCCTGAGTCTCAGGACTGTCCCTCATTCTCCCCCATTTCCACATCTGGAAAGGAGGGAACCAGAACTGGAGGGGAGCCAAGTGCCCACCCAGGGTAGGTGAGGGGGCTGGCTGCCCTGCAGTGCCCGCCGGCAACTCAGCGAGTAAGCGGCCTGAGGGGCAGAGGGGCATCAGGACCACCTAGAGAGGATCAAGAGAAAGGTGCCTTGCTGCAGACCTTAGCTCTAGCCACAGGAGTTTCCTCTCCCCCTAGGCCCTGGGCCTCCCACCCCACCCCAGGCTCTTTTTTTTTTGCTTTTTGGGTCGCACCTGGCGATGCACAGGAGTTACTCCTGGCTCTGCACTCAGGAATTACTCCTGACAGTGCTCGGAGGACCATATGGGATGCTGGGAATCGAACCCCGGTCAGCCGCGTGCAAGGCAAATGCCCTACCTTCAGTGCTCCAGCCCCCCACCCCCCATCGACTCTTTTTGCTCTTGGGGAAACTGAGACCCAGGGAAAGGCCCGGCAAGGCAGAAAGTGCTGCAGTGTGCACCCTCAGACAGCAGATGGACAACTTGGGGTCAGGGAACCCCTCACGCCCTGCCTGGGGACCAGCCCACCTGCAGTGGCAGCTGATCCGCAAGGAAAGAGCCGATGAGGTTGCAGGAGTCGCCTCCGATCCAGCCCAGTAGGAACCACAGCGACAGGGCCTGGTCCATGTTTCCCGTCTTGCAGGCCTTGATGTACTGGCTGTGGCAGAGGAGCAGGAGGTAACATCCAGGGACAGGGCAGGGACCCCACCCCGGAGGGTAAATGACAGAAACACCCAGAAGAAGCCACTGGGGCAGGCGGTGCCGGCAGGGCAGCGGGTCACAGGAGCCAACCCTTCCAGCAGTCAATCTTCGGGAGCCTTTCTTTGCCCTTTGCCCTTTGCCCTTAGAAGGAGTCCTGCCAGGGCTCTCGTCCCACCTGGGCCAGGCGCCTTTCCAGAGAGTTCCTCAGCAGCACTCGGACTCTTCCACACACCTGAGGAAACTTGGGTTCTGCTGGTGGTTTGGGGCTTCTGGCCCTGCTGGAGGCTGCTCCCCCGCTGTGGTGCTTGGGGACTGTCCCTCCCACTGCCCAGGGACCAGGCAGTATCCAGTGGGGACTGACCAAGGGCCCCAGCAGACACGGCACTAGTCCAGCCCTCTGAACTCCCTCCCTGGCCTGGAAACTTGAGGGCTGTAGAGGCTCCTTGAAGGTCTATCGCGAGGCCTAAGAACGATTTCATGGGCACACTAGGGTCCCTCTCCTATGGAGGACACAGCGGGTGGAAGGGACAAGGCCATGGTGGCAGAGCCCGGCGCACCCAGCCTGTCTCTGGGAGGGTGATGATAAAATGGGTCACCTCTGCCCAGAGAAGGAGTGTTGCGGGCAGGTCCGGGCACTTGCCTTGTGTGCGGCTGGGTCAGCATTTTATAAGGTCCCTGACCCCTCCGGGCGGAATCCCTGGATGCAGAGCCAGGGGTGAGTCCTCAGCAACACCTGGTGTGACCCCCAAACAAACACAACAACAGCAACAAGCCACCAAAGGGAATGCTTCGGAACCCTGCCCTCCCACTCTGGGCTTCTGGGAGTCTCACAGGTGCCCAAACTTTGTGCCCACCACAAAGAGGTGGCAGGGTCTTGGGCATGGCCCCGAGGGCTGCAGGTGACGTGAGGGTGCCACACGCCAACTTGCCAGGTCTGTTTGGCTGAGGCTGGGCCAATGCTAAGACCTCGGGCCAGGACCCAAAGAGCCTCAACTCTGACACAACTGCCATTTTCTACTCTACCTTCTTTTTCCCTTTTGATTTTTGGGCTACACCTGGCTGTGCTCTGAGATCACTCCTGGCGGTGCTGGGATCCAAGCCAGTTGGCCACATTCAAGGCAAGTGCTGTACCTGCTGTACTATCTCTCCAGCTCTGTTCAAATTCCTTTTTTTTTTTAAATTTCTTTTTGGGTCACACCCGGTGATGCACAGGGGTTACTCCTGGCTTTGCACTCAGGAATTAACCCCTGGCAGTGCTCGCGGGACCATATGGGATGCTGGGAATCGAACCCGGGTTGGCCGCGTGCAAGGTAAATGCCCTACCCTCTGTGCTCCAGCCCCCTGTTCAAATTTCTTTTTAAAATCACCTACCTATGCTTTCCCCTCTTCTTTGGCCATACCAGGTGGTGCTCAGGAAACCATACAGGACTGCTGGGGATCAACCCAGGTCAACCACATACGAGGCAAACACTCTTCCTGCCTCCTGCCCCGGGCTGCACTGTCTCTAGTAGGATCCACCAGGTAAAGTTGGGGTGGGATGGGGCGCCCTGGGCCTACCTGGGTGAGGCGGTGCTTGGGGCCACACCCAGTACCGCTGAGGATGGACCCCAGATGCTAGGCAAGTGTTCTACCACTCGAGCTGTCTCCCCAGCTCTCCTCACGTGACTTTAAAAGTCAGCAGCTCCTAAGTGGCACCGATCCAAACTATCAGCTGAGCCAGACACAAGGACAGTTGGGCCTCTGCCCCCGATGCTCCCCGGGGTCTCCCCCAGTCGCAAGGCCCCCCCCAAGCCTGGCTGCTCGGGAATCTCTTGACCCTCTGAGGGCCCTTCCCAACCTCCCCCTTGCCACTCTCCCGCAGAGCCGTACTGCCTCCCTCAGTGAGACCCCTGCCCTCCTGAGCTACTCCTGCTCCTGCGCCCTCTTGGCCCCTGCCCGCTCCAGGTCCACTTTCCCTTCCTCCACCCCAGACACTCCCATTCCCACCCCGCTCAGCAAGAATCACTTCCTCCTCAGTGTCTTCCCCGCCAGTGTCTTCTTCGCCTTCCTCAGACACCCCCTCAACCCCTTTAGCAAAGTTGGTGACCTTTGGTCTCCAGTGTTTTTATTTGTTTGGGTTGGTTGTTTTTGTTTGCTTGGGGACCACACCTGCCTGGAGCTGCTCAGGACTTACTCCGGGCTCTATGCCCAGCAATCACTCCCAGCAGGACTCGGGAGACCATATATAGAGGTCGAACCTGATCGGTGTATCAAGGCCAGAACCCTACCCTCTGTATGGTCGGTTGCTCTGCCCGCCTTCAGACTCTTCTAAAGAGAGACAAGTTACCTTTATAACTGACTTAAAAGACTAGGTTGTCAAATGAACAGAAGTATAAGTTTGAATTTTCCCAGAGCAGGAAGAAGAAATAGAGGATTTGGATAAACTCTGTCTGTCAGGGGCTGGATCTGAACACTTAAGAGACAGAATTGCATAATAGAAGGCAAGATATCTGGAGAAGATGCTGAGTTGGGGCCAGTGCCCAGGACAGACCTGGCACCAAGAAGGCCCTTTAAGGAAGGGTTCTCCCATCACCAACTCCCCGCTGTGACTGGGCCCAGGGTGCATGCACCCTCTGAGGAGGTGGCATCACCCTGCAGGTGGCTGACCTGGGTTGGATCCCCAGAACACCATATGGTCTCCTGAGCACTGCCAGGAATGATCCCTGGGCTCATAGCTGGGAGTAAGCCCTAAGCATCGCGGGTGGTCACGCCCAAACCAATATATATATGCAAAACCCCAAGGAGAAGGAGCTGGAAGGTTATACCCACTAGGGTAGTGATAATGGAACCACAAGTGTTCTAGAGGAAGAAGAGCTGAGTCGTTCCTTTTGGGGGATCTGAAACATGTTCTGAAACTGTCTGTGGAGATGGTCACATGACTCCAGAGACTGACATCACGGCCATACAGTCCAATGGGATCACTACATAGTTTATAAAGCAGCTCAATAACATTTTTTTTTTGTCTTTAAGGAGGATTTTGGGGGCAGTGCATAGGGCTCACTCCTGACTCACGTCACTCCCGGTGATGCTCTGGGGATCCCATTGAGGTTGGCTGGGTCTGAGAGTTGTTCCTAAATCCATATACTATTTCTCTAGCCCAAGACTTCTTTTGGGGGGGTGGGAGACACACCCAGAAGTACTCAGGGGTTACTCCTGGCTCTGCACTTAGGGATCACTCCTGCAGGGTTCAGGGGACCAGATGGGATGCTGGGAATCCAACTCAAGTCAGCTGCATGCAAGGCAAATCTGCTATACTATTTAGTGCTCTGGCCCTAAGACCTTTTTTTTTTTCCGCTTTGTTTTTGTTTTCCATACCTGGCAGTGCTCAGGACTGTCTCCTGGTTCTGCACTCAGGAATTACTCCTGGCTGTGCTTGGGGGAGCATATGGGATCAAACCTGTGTGCAAGGCAAAAGCCCTACCTGCTGTACTATTGCTCCAGCCCCAAGACTTTTTTTTTTAATTATTAATGTCAGAGGGCTGGAACGATAGCACAGCGGTAGGGCGTTTGCCTTGCACGCAGCCAACATGGCTGACCCGAGTTCGATTCCTCCGCCCCTCTCAGAGAGCCCGACAAGCTACCGAGAGTATCTCGCCCCCACGGCAGAGCCTGGCAAGCTAACCGTGACGTATTCGATATGCCAAACACAGTAACAAATTCTCCAATGGAAACGTAACTAGGCCCGCTCGAGCAAATCGATGAACAACGGGAGGACAGTGACAGTGATTAATGTCAGAATATATTTCCTAACCTCATATTACAAGGCTTGGTGACCTCTGTGACCTCCCCTCTGCCAGTCCCCTGACGGACCCCAACCTGTCTGTTCACAAGCCTGGCAGACACTGTGGCAAGCCCCCGAACTAGAGCTTTACACCCACCCCTCCTCAAGCCAGCCTCGACTCTGTGAGGCTGCGAACAGTCCCCTTCAGTTGAGAAAACCAGGGTGCATAGACCCCTACTCACGATTGACTACTGAACTCACGTCCACCTGAACCCAGAACTCACACCCCTGACCTGACCATGTGCTGCGGGGAAGGGGTCATGTTCCCTGGTTCCCCCCGACTGGGCCTCCACTGGATTCTCCTGGGACAGAGGCCACATGCGCTGCATCCAGTCCCCACCACCCTGCACCCATCTCTGATGAGCTGTGCAATCAGGAGGCTGCTTAGATTCTCTGGGCTCCATCGTCTCATGAAGTAGGAATGATCATTGTACCCACTTCACAGGACCTTCTTGAGCATGACACAAAGCAAAGACATGTCGAGCGCTTAGAATGAGCCAGATTCACGGTGTTCTGTGGGCAGGAGCTAGTGATATTCTAGTTGTGTCTCTGCTTTAGTTGACACAGGGTAGGCGCAGGGTGGAGTCGAGGGCAGGGCCCTCCCAGGCGAGTATAGGGTAGGAGGAAGCATACTTGGCCCGGAGTCTGCAAGGGCCCCTGGTCAGTGCTTCCCCTGCCACCCTGGCCACAACTTACGGAAAGGTGGACGCCGCGAAGCAGAGGATGGAGATCAAGCCCAGGCCCACACTGGCCTCATCCCAGCCGTCCTTAGCACACTCGCCGAACACGTCCCATATCCACTGCCGGGATCCATTGGGGCAGCTGGAGAAATTGCTGGAGCCCAGCTTCTTCCAGCCCATGGCCACAGCTGACCAAAGGGCACTGGTGCAGGGAGGCAGGCGAGGGACCTGCAGGTACAAAGAAAGCCTTCAGCCTCGGGGGGCTGGGTCCCACTCAGGGACCAGCCCCCCACCCAAGCCCATTGCCAACCTCCTCACCCGGCACTGACCAGGGTGCAGGAGCAGAGGGGACAGTCACCCTAAAGCACACGGACGAAAGCAAACTCTGCCCAGCACTGCGGCGAGGGCACCAGCTCCAGACCCGGGACCAAGAGCCTTCTCCCAGCCCAAACACTTGTGAAAGCCATCACTCAGGCCAAAGACGCAGCCCCTCTGTGCCTCAGTTTCCTCAGCTGTATATAAAGTGATTACAGTAGTTAGCCCTCCCCTTGAGTCCCCGTGGTTAGAATGAGGGGACAAGGAGCTGGTCCAGTGTTTTATAACTGGGAGTCACTCTGCCGAGGGCAGGAGCATCATGGATACTATCTGCTTCCTTTAACATGTTGACTCACACTTGTATAGGGCTTAATTAACGCGAATGGCAGTGCCAGCGTCAATGTGTTATTAAGGGAGGTTGGCCCCAGTGCAGATCCCTGCCGGGGGGGGGGGGGGGTGGCGGGATGTGAACACTCAGGGTCGCCGGCCACCTCCCTGTTGTCACCTCAGAGTCAGCAGCAGGCTAGTTACAGGCCAGGCCAGAGCTGTTCCTGGGGCCTGTGTACAGTGACTGGAGGATGGCCACTGCAGAGGAAGGACACAAAGGGGGTACGGCTAGAGTGGCCACTGCCAGGTGAGCAGCAGCTCCTCCAAGTTCTCAGCTCTGTGCCAGGCATCAGGCATGCCCCTGTGCATCAGGGTGGCACATCAGCTCCCTGACAGGGGGGTTCTGTCCCTGCCCAGGGAACCCACAGAGGTGACACTTGCCCGTAAGAAAGTGGCAGAGCCACATGTCAAACCCCCACCTGGAAGCACACGCTGGTTCCCAGCAGCCCCACCTGAGATGGAGTGTTCCTGAGGGTGGCCCCGTGGCCATGCACAAAAGCAAGAAGCAGGCTTCCCCTCGCCCCGTGGGGCACTGAGCTCGGTTCTCTCCAGCCATGTCCGGCTTAAGGCTCACGTGGGAGGCCCAGGACAGCCACTAAGCCATGCCCTGTGCTCCACACTGAATGTGTATGAAACGTGACCCCCAGCATGACGGGAAATGCCTCTGTACATGAGGCCTCATCACCTCCCTCACCCCTTCTGCCAGCTGGGCACACTGCCACTCTGTCTATGGGGAACTATCTCTCCCTACTCTGAATCTGCTGGCCCCTTGACCTTGGACCTGCAGCCTGTGGACAGAGCACATGTAGGATGCCAGAAGCCCCCCGCTGCCCCCCCCGGCCATGTCTCTGCCTATGGTTCTTTGCTAGAGCTATCCTAATGAACCGCTGCTCTGGCCTGCCCCTGCCTGCCTGGCTGTGGTGGCAGCAAGCAGTGAGCCAGGAGCCTCCCAGAAGGAAAGGAAGCAAGTCAGCATCTTTGCTCAGGAAGCTCTCCTCTCAATCATAATGGGAGGTTGTGTGTGTCGGGGGGGGGGGGGGGGTTAGGGAGGGGGTGAGAGCACCTCAGGTCACAGCCCAGCACACAGCAGTATCTTCAGGGTGGCTGAGAGCCTCCTTTTGTATGTGTCCTCCCACCTGGATGACCTTCAGCACTGCTGAGGTGGGAACCATGGGGCTCATGTTGTGTCCAGGGGCCACTGCGGGGGAAACGTGGGGTGCAGGAAAGAGCTGAGTCTTGGTCACCCCAGGCTGGGGAAAAGGCTCAAAGGTCTGGAGCTTATGCATGGTATGGAGGAGGCATGGGTTTCATCATCAACCCTGCATGGTCCCCAAGCACGAAGGGGAGCAAACCCCGAGCACCAAAGCTGGGAATAGTCCCAAAGCACTGCCAAGTGTAGTCCACATCCACTGCCCCCAAATACCAACATCACTTCCGATGAAGTGCTTTGGTCCCCGGACCCTAGACCGCGTCCTGCACCCGGTCTTCTTGTAAACTTTGAATGCATCTCTGCAGTTCCTCACCTCAGTACACTGCCACCCTCGCAACCTCCTGTGTGTGGGGGACGCTGTCCCCACTTCCAGAGATGGCTGTGGGCACTAGGTCAAGTGAGCAACCTGGATGAGCCACTGATAAAATGAGGACAGGGCCAGAGAGCACCGGTGAGGGCGCATGCCTGGCATGCAGATGGCCCTAGGTCAGCCCCCTGTACCGATGACCCCTTCTCTCCCTCCTCTTCCTGCAAAGTTAATCGAGATCATCCAGTCCGAAAGGTTAGAATTATGCTTGGCTGGCACCGAAGCACCATCCAGGTGTGACTATTCTGTTCTGGGGAAATCAACCCTCTCCCAACTCCCTTACCCCCACCCCATCCCTGGTACACAGCAGCCAGTGTTACATGGTCAGTGTTACCTGGACCAGCCTAGTCACCAGCTCCTGTCCTCATTACACCCCCAGCCTGCTCCCACCCGGGTCTCCAGTGGGGAGCAGGTGATCTGAGACCCGGGAAGGGAGGAGCATCCCTGCTGGCCCATGGCGCCGCCTCCAGACCTCCGGAGCTGTGGCCACACTCCGTGCCTGTGACTCAGCCGAGCGCCCGCAGCCTGTTTGGCGGGATAATGACAGGGCAGCGGCAGGGAGCAAGCGTCCGGATCCCGGGAAGTCCCTCCTCCAGCGTCCACCCCGGGGAAAACTAAACCCATCAGAAGCAAAAAGGACGGAACCAGGAGATGAAAAGGGAACCCAGACCCCAATCCCTGGTCAGGCCCGACAGAGCGGCAGTGCTGAAAGTCCCTGGGGAGGCGGGGGGGGACGCCCAGGACAGGGGCCCTCGGGGCATTCCCAGCCGGGCCCAGACCCTCGCGACGGAACCTTGCACCGCTAGGCAGGCAGATTCTCCCCAGGCCAGTCCGCAGGCTGGAGGCGACTGCTGGAAAGAGGTGGCGGGAGCACCCCGGCCCGCAGCCACCGCGATTGCCCCTAGCTTCAAAGCCGGCTCACCAAGTCCAGGTCCACCGCAGCGGTCGGGCTTCTGGGTTCTGCCTCCACCGCCGGGGTCAGCTGACCCGCGGTCCCGCCCCGCCCCGCCCCGCCCCGCCCCGTCGCGGCGAGGCCCCGCCCCTTGCGCCTAGCTCTTGGTCGACCGCCCCCCGGGGGCGTGGCGAACGGGCTGCGCTTGCGCGGGGCGGAGCCGCCGCTCCGGCTCCCAGCTGCCCTGCGCGGTGGGTGGGCGTGGCCCGCGGCCGGTGGGGGGCGTGGCCCGAAGCCGGTGGGCGGGGCCCGGGCGTCGCAGCACGCAGGCGCCGTCCTCATGTTGCGCGCCGCGTCCCGCGCCGTGGCCCGTGCAGCTGCCCGCAGTGCCAGTCGACCCGGCCCGTCCGACATTCGCGCCGCTCCCTCCGTCGCCATGTCCCGGCCGTCGCGGGCTGCCTCGGGCGGCCCAGCGCTGCCCGGCACCGTGCTGGGCACCATGGAGATGGGGCGCCGCATGGACGCCCCGGCCAGCGCGGCGGCCGTGCGCGCCTTCCTGGAGCGCGGCTACACCGAGCTGGACACGGCTTACATGTACAGCGACGGCCAGTCTGAGAGCATCGTGGGCGGCCTGGGGCTCGGACTGGGCGGCGGCGACTGCAGAGGTAACGCCTGGCGCCCCCCTCGGCCAGCCCCTCTGACCCGCCCCTGTAGGCGCAGCGTCCGTGCGCCTGCAGCTGGTGCAGCTCCGGAAACCCTCAGCGTCTCAGGCCTCGCCGTGTCCAGTCTCCGACAGTGCTTTTGCCCCCTACTACTACCCTCTGCGCTTCCTTTTCGGGGGGTGCTGCTTCGAGCCGAGTGCATGGCTTTCTAGCCCCCCCCCCTCCCAACACCTTTCCGTCCTGGGCCCCCACCTCTGCTCTCCAGAGGGCTCTGTACCCTGCATGGACAGTGGCCCGGTACTGTGCCCCGGTACTCTCCCCTTTTTGCACACCGCCTGTGAGCTCCCTGGTCACCTTTTTCTCATCTTGGTCTTTATCAGACCTTAGACTTTGCTCGGATCACTTGGCAGTACTCTTGGCTCTTGGGGAGCGGTGTAGACAGCTGCGGAGGTGAACAGGGGCTGTATGCTAGGAGGCTGACTTCACTATCCACTCTGTTTTTGGTTTTTAGGTCCCACCTGGTGGTGCTCAGGTTTCTTTCCTGGCTCTGTGCTCAGGGGACCTTATATGCAGCGCTGGGGAGCACATTCCAATAGGGTCGTTTTACCGGCTGTATTATCTCTGCAGCCCTTGGATCACTCCTACGGCCCTGGGGCAGCTTTGTTCTGGGCTCTAGAATGGAAGGGGCTTAAAGGCCCTCGGGAAACTCAGTTTGGTGGTGGTGGTGTTGTGGGGGGGTGTTGTTGAGTGTAACAAATGATTGCTGGACAGCCCAGAAGAAGAGGAAGTTGGGGGGGGGGGACTCAGAGAGGGCTGGCACTGGGGCAGCCACTTAGGGAAGGTCAGAGAACCCAGAGCTGGGCCTCTGTGAATCAATCGTGGTTTGCTGGGCTGAGCATGAGAAAATGGGACATTGGGGTTTAGAGGGCTGGGCTTGGAAATGCCAGGTGTGTGGGTGCGTGATGGAGTGTGAGGGAGGGGCTGTTTACCGATGGCCTCCTGCCTTTGGAGAACCCCAGGAACGCGGCTGGCCTGTTCAGGGCCCCTGTCAGTGTTAGCTTCCTATTGCACTCGGCCTCCTTTTCCACTCTCAGTTCTTCTTTCCCAGCCCACACGGTGGCGTGGGGTGGTGTGGTCTGACTTGAGTTCTCTAGGATGCAGAGCCAGAGATGTCTTGAGGCCGAGATTGGCCCTCCTGTGGAATTTGGAATTTGGAGCTCTGGACAGCTCACTGGGCCGGATCATTTTGTTTCTCAATTAGATTTCCCCCTTCCTTCGAGCTGAGCATCCACAGGGTCTAAGTCCTGCTGTTGGACTTTGAGACCGAGCTCACACCAAGAATGCTGCGGGTGGAGAGATGAGGAGATACCGAAGAAACCCAGGGAGGCAACAGCGCTTATTTGCTTCCATGTCCAGGTGGTCTGCCCACTCCGCCTCGGGCTCAGCTGACTTTTGCCAAGTAGGAGAGGTAGAGCCGGCCTGTGCCCATTGTTCCAGACAGCTGGGACTCCTCTGGACACCCCCCACGGCGATCTTGGAGAGTGTGTTTCTGCTGCGGGCCTGTGCTTCTGTGACACGGAAGGATCAGGGAAACCTAAATTACCTTCTGCTCCTCTGGCCTTTGTGCCGTCTCTCCAGTTGGTGTCTCTGGCTGGCCCAGATTCATGCAGCTGAGTTGTTTCCTGAAGTCTTACAACAGCCTCTTGTCTTGTCTGCCTATTCCCACGCCTACCCCCAGAGTTCTTTTTCTATAATGCAGCCATATCGGCTTCAAACCTTTGCAGGTTTGAGAAAACTCTTTGGGACTCGGCCTGTGCCCCCTTTTTCCCCAGGCCTCCTGGCCGGGGGCTGTTGCCCAGATAACTTGAAATTGCAGGGATAGACTTTCCTCCAGCTGTGTTTTCTTATCTTTGTGACTTTGCCTGTGTTCTCATTTTACTCGTTCTTGGAGACTCAGCTTTCCAGGATGTCACCTCTAGATGTCTCTCTTGGAATTCCCAGGCTGGCTGCGCACTTCTCTTCAGCACTATTCTGTGGGACACGTAGCTTGTCAGCAGCACCTAGATTGTGACATCAGTAGCATGTGAGTTCCTGGAGGGCAGAAAGTGCTTGTGTTTAGCTCGACCTGTGGGTGCCACCTCTGATGTGAGGCGGGCTTGCTCTGGAGGCTAATCACAGAATCCCCTGGAGGTCTCATGTGGTTTAACCTTCCTGATAGAGCTGTAAGGACTGCTGTATCCCTGTTTTGTAGATTAGGGGGCTGAGACCCAGAGAACTGAAATAATTTAGTCAGGGTCACAATGCTAGGGTCAAATGACTTATAAGACATCTCTTAGGGGGCCAGAGAGACCAGTGGTACTTGCGTTAGACTTGGCTGACTTGAGTTTGATCCCTGGCTGCCCATATGATCCTCTGTTCCCCACTAGGAGTCTTGTCTGAGCAGAGAGAACCAGAAGTATGCCCTGATGATCACTGGGTGTGACCCAAAGACTGGAAAAAAAAGTCCAATAACTCAATGAGTTAACCACCTGCTTTGTGTGTGGGACCCCCAGGTTTGATCACCTGCACTATATAGTCCCCTGAGCACTGCCAGGAGCAACCTCCCAACACTGAACTGGGAATAGCCTCTGTGCACTACTGGATGTGGCCAAGACACTAACTAAAGAATAAATTATCTCTTAACCATTTCTTTCTCCCTTCAAAGTGAAGATTGCCACCAAAGCCAATCCCTGGGACGGGAAGTCGCTGAAACCAGACAGTCTCCGGGCTCAGCTCGAGACATCACTGAAGCGACTGCAGTGTCCGCGGGTGGACCTCTTCTACCTCCACGCACCCGACCACAACACCCCTGTGGAGGAGACGCTGCGTGCCTGTCACCAGCTGCACCAGGAGGTGAGTTGGGGCTGAGGCTCTGCTCTTCTCACCCTCAAAGTGCATGGACAGTCAGGACTGACCCAGCAGGGCACAAGACTCTGCTCCGGGGACCCGGTCTCCTCATCCCTTCCAGAGCGCCGGTGAGAAGGTTCTAGCCTTGGCTTCTCCCCTGCAGGGCAAGTTTGTGGAGCTTGGCCTCTCCAACTATGCTGCCTGGGAGGTCGCTGAGATCTGTACCATCTGCAGGAGCAATGGCTGGATCCTGCCCACGGTGTACCAGGTGAGGGCCACGTTTCTAGGGCTCCTGCCAGCTCCAGTTCTCCTGGCCCCACCCTCCCAATGCCTCTAGTTTCTTCCCCGAAGACCCTCCCTTGCTCAAAGCCTGTCAACAGCCCCTTGGTGCCTTGAGAGTATCGCTCAGGCCTCTCCCCAGGGAAGGATGAGCTACTGGGCACCGCTCGTCCTGACCTTGCACAGAGTTCCATCCTTCCCGCCTGGCAGCCTGGCTCATGCTTCCTGGGCGTCAGTGCTCGGGTCTCATCCCGTGAATGCTGTTCCTGCAGCTTAGCAGGGCGTCCAGATTGTGTCTCCGAGCACTTGGGGCACATCCCCCTGAGATGCTGCTGTGGCCACAGGGCCCGCACGCCTGTGTTTCCACTTGAGCCTCTTCCCTTGGAGCCGGACACCCAGTTGGACTGCTCCTAATTTGGAACCCGGTGTCCAGCCCCTAGTTGGCCCCGCGACAGTCTGTCCGTTTGGTTTCCCTTGCGTACCAGCCCCCCACTCCCCCAACAACTCCCCCATCCCTGGCACCATCCTCTGGGCCATCGTGGCCCAAGTCCTGGGTGTTTTTGGACTTTTGGACGGAGATTTTGAATGAAGACAGCTTTCCCTTCCCTGGACATGTGCCCCTGTCCAGCTGGCCCTTCTGCTTGCAGGGCATGTACAACGCCACCACCCGGCAGGTGGAAACGGAGCTCTTCCCCTGCCTCAGGCACTTTGGATTGAGGTTCTACGCCTACAACCCCTTGGCTGGTATGGGCTCCAGTGGGGGGCATTCCTGACCCAGAAGATGTCTGCCCAGGATCTGGGAGATGGGGAGGGCTTTGACAAGAGGCTGGGCTGTGTCTGCCACCCCTCCGGGGTCACCCCCATCCCAGCATCTGCCCCAGCATGGAGCAGCCTCGGAAGCAGCGCGGGTGAGGTATCTGATGGCAGCCCTCCGTAGGGGGCCTGCTGACCGGCAAGTACAAGTATGAAGACAAGGACGGGAAACAGCCCGTGGGCCGCTTCTTCGGGAATAACTGGGCAGAGACCTACAGGAACCGGTGAGTCGGGGGGTGTCAAGATGGGTGGGATGGAATGGAGGGCCCCTCTGTTGTGAAAGTGAGGCACGCCAGACGCTTCCTGGGGCTTCAGGCCCGCTTGACTACCTGGAACCCTCTCACTTGATTCCTGTGGGCTTCACCTATCTAGTAGTGTTTCTTGCTTTTTTGGGTGCCTCCATGAGGAAATGATGGTCCCAGGACCTTAGGCCAGGTTGGTCTCTCAAGAGAAGTGATATCCCAGGGGGGATGGAAAGAGAGCAGGCCCAAGGGATAAGATGCTTTACATCTTCCATGTGGCTGACTTTGGTTTGATCCCCCCATATCCAGCATGGCTTATGGCACCCTGAGCACCCCCAGGAGTGACCCCTGAGCACAAAGCCAGGAGACGCCCGTGGGCACTACCAGGTGTGCCCCCAAACCAACACAAGAACAAACCTCGAGTCAGGAATTGGGACCCGTGCTGAGTCCTGCTCCAGTTCTAGCTGCCTTTGATGTACTTAGGGGGACGTCAGGGCACATTTGGAGTTTCTCAGAATAAAGATGCCCTTAGGGTCTGTGGTGACAGCATCTGTGTGGTTTTGCTCCCCCAGATGGCGGGACACTCTCCCCTCCTTGCTATAGATTTGAGGTGGGCACAGCTTCTCCAGTTAGTTATTTGGCTAGGGGCCCCGTATCCCCACAGTGGGGTCGCGCCTGTCTCAGCCCCCCACTGCCACCCCTCCATCCACCCAGTTTCTGGAAGGAGCATCACTTCGAGGCCATCGCCCTGGTGGAGAAAGCCCTGCAGGCTGCCTACGGCTCCAGCACTCCTGGCATGACCTCGGCTGCTCTCCGCTGGATGTACCACCACTCCCAGCTTCAGGTGAGTCCTGTCCCGGAGGAGTCGGTGCCACACCGGAGGGCGGGCACATGGTAGATCTGGTGTGTGGCACGTGCAAGACCCTGGGTTTAATCCCTAGCATCATGGAACAGTGGGGGTGGGGGAGTGGTAGTATAGCAGGTAGGGTGCTGGCTTTGCATTCCATGGTCCCTTGAGCACCGCTAGTAGTGACCCCTGAGCAGAGTAAGCCCTGAACATTGCTGGGCGTGGCTGAGAATAATTAGGCTTAGGTGACTTCTAAATAGTTCCTTCCTCTTAGGTTTCTCTCTGACCTGGGCAGGCCTCCTGTTGTTAGTAGCTGTTTGAGTGGAAGGCCCTGTGTCATAAGAGCAGTAACAGCATCATTTTGACTACCTGGGCCTTACAGGTGTGACTTATCAGGTTACCAATAAGTGGGAGACATAATAGTGCTGAAAACAGAAAAGAGTGGAGTGGTTACATAACTAAGGCTCATTTACACAGCAGCTGGCTCTGGGCTTAGGCTTGAGGATGAGCAGTTTGAGTGTGGGGAGAAAGCAGAGGATCTAGTCACAATTAACAGTGACTGCAGGCATATTCTCTAGGCATGACTAAACTTCCCATGCCCTCTGGGCACTGGGGAGGTGGATGTGTGAAAGGCCCAAGTTTACTGTTCCTTGCTGGAGGATGACCTGAGCAGCTGCTGGGTGTGGCCCCCAAACCAAAATCTCAAGGAATTCCCCTGTGGGCAAGGGCATGAATGCTGGGAGGGGTGTGTATTCCTGGGCTCGCTCGGGTGCACAAAGGAGCTGACATCTGTCTTTGCAGGGTGCCAGTGGGGATGCTGTTATCCTGGGCATGTCCAGCATGGAGCAGCTGGAGCAGAACTTGGCAGCAGTGGAGGAAGGTCCTTTGGAGCCATTGGTGGTGCAGGCCTTCGATCGGGCCTGGGACGTGGTTGCCCATGAATGTCCCAACTACTTCCGTTAGGCCCCAGCATGGCTCAAACCGCCCAAAGTTTTTCTGTCACGTCTTCTTTACTCTGACCACCAGTCTTTGCCTTAAAGTGACCTAGTGTGGGCTGTTTGCCTTTTCCATTTTCTGTGCTGGGAATCTAACCCGGGAATGAGAGATGTGCTCCACCATGAGCCGCATCCCCTACTGACTGTGATCTTTCTGATTATCTAGGTCTCTGGTGCCCCCATTACTTCACAGGTGGGGGCTGAGCCTGATGTGAGCACCTCTATCTGAATAAAAGCAAGCTCTTGGCCTGCCTGTAATGCAGGTGTTTCCTCTGCTGCTCCTGCAAGTCTTTCTCCCACCTGGGAGTTATTGCTGATAGGGCAGAACCAGTTACTGTCTGCCAATGGGTACCAGGTTGGAGATCTGAAGAGGATGAAAACTGCCATTCTCAGACATGGCTACTGGGGCTGTCTCCCCAGCCTGAGCCAGCTTGACTTCAAGGAGAGCCACGTGCCCTGCTTTTCCCAGTTAGATAACTGATGAAAGCACCATTAGAGCGGTGCCCCCTCTCCCACTGACACACCAAAAGTTTTCTGATGCTATAGACCAATTTTTGGCCAAATCCCCAGGACTGCTCAGGACTTTCTCCTGGCTCTGTGCCCGAGTGTTATTGCTGCCAGTTTTCAGAATACATGGTGTTACAAACCAAACCCAGGCCTCCTGCATGCCAGTGCTCTGAGCCATTTCTTACATTCTCTTGATTAAAGTAGATTTTGCTACCTTTTTTTTTTTCCTTTTTTGGGTCACAACCTGGCGATGCACAGGGGCTACTCCTGGCTCACGCACTCAGGAATCACTCCTGGCTGTGCTCGGGGGACCATATGGGATGCTGGAAATTGAAACCGGGTTGGCTGCGTGCAAAGCAAAAGCCCTACCCACTGTGCTATCACTCTAACCCGAGATTTTGCTACTTTTGTTTTAGCTAAAGCTGCCTGCCACCTTGTCATCCTTAAGATTCTTAGTTAGTGCTTACAGTGCTGGATTTTACAGCAGGTGGGTTGCCTTGCCTATGGCATCCCATGTGGTCTCGCAGCACACCAGAAGTCATTCCTTTTTAAAAATTTTATCTTAAAAGTATAACATTTTATTTGGAAGTTTGGAGGAGAGATGGGGGAGGGAGCTCCAGAACACATCCCTGTGTTAAAGTATTAAGTTAGGAAAGTACACGTCTCAGTAGGGGAGATGTGGGCGATACATGCTCAGCAGTAGCACACGGGCTCAGGTAACATGTGCCAGGAGTCACTGCTGAGTGTAGAGCCAGGAGTAGCCCTGAGTATCAGGACATGTGGTTCAAAATCCAAGAACAAAACAAAAACTCTTCAATATATTATCCATCAGAGAAAAGTAAATTCAAACCACAGCAAAAGTTACTTCATACCTATTAGAACAGATCAAAAAATGATTGGAAAGCTCATACATTTAAGTGGTAGAAATGTAAAATGATGCAACTGCTCTGGAAAATAAGCTGTCAGTTCCCCAAAAGATCAAAAAGGCCAGAGAGAGAACTTGAGATTAAAAGACAACTGGCTTGCATGCAGCCAACCCTGGTTTGATCCCTAGAACTGCATATGGTTCCCAGAGCACTACCAACAGTGATCCATCTGCACACAGAGCCAGACATAAGGCCCACACAAAAAAATCAAGTTACCATGTAACCCAGCAATTACCTCTTAGGCTTATTGTTGGGTTTGGGACCATATCTGGCTGTACTCAGGGCTTAGTCCTGGCAGGCGCAAGGCATCCTATGAGGTGTCAGGGATCAAGTCTGGGATAAACACATCAAGACGAGCACTCCACTCACTGTACTACTGCCCCAGGTTTTCTTGCTTTGGGTCATTTTGTGATCACTTTAGAAATTTGGCTATTACTTGTCATATCTTTTCCCAGTCACTGATGGACACTTGAGTTGTTCCCCTAACCTACTGCACAGTGCTGCAGTCCACTCTGGGTTGGGCTGGGGACGTGGCTCGGAGGCTAAGCCCAAGCAGAGGGTGTGCCCAGGCATCCCTGTGTCATGGTGGCTGGGCCTGGCACTGCCCAAGGGGCTGGAGCACTAAGTGGGAGGTTTGTGTATGGAGGTCCCCGAGATGACACAAAAGAAAGGCTATTTCTTTTCTGAAAAAAGTCCCTTGTGCTGCCTGCAGGGAGAATCCTGGTCATGAGAGAAAGTCTGTCCCTAACATCCCTCCGTGCCTCAGACACAGCCAGGCAGTGGCACCCCTGCACAGTCCCGTCCACAGGAGCTCAGAAGCTCCGGCACGCATCAGCTGTCATCCTCGTTGTCCTCTGACTCATCTGCAGACTCGGGCGCGCTCTCTGGCAGCTCCTCCTCCTCTCCCATCTGCTGGAACCGCCCCGATTCTGCATCCCACATGTACTGGACCGTCACCTTGAATTCCGCCATCTCATACCCGAAGAGCTTCTGCAAGAGACAGGCAGTAAGGGGCCGTGGGGCGGAGAGTCAGCATGTGTGTACCGCCCGGGCCTGCTTGCCATCGTGGCTGCATGTGGCCACTCACCAGGACTCGGGCCTGCTCGGGGGTCAGCACGTCGCCCTCCTTGCACACCTCGTAGTCAGACAGCAGGGTCACCACACCTGTAGAGAGGGGACCACATCACTCTGGCACCGCCCCCTTCGCCCTTGTCCCATGGCTCGGGGGAGCTCAGCTGCCCGGGAGGGCTTTAGGGAGCCTCAGTGCCCTCTCACCCCTAGGGTGCAATATTCAGGCTCTGAATTCTCATCCCCGTCACTTTCGCCCAGTGATGAGGGCACCGTCCTTATCTTCTGTTAAGTTCCTTTTTTAAGTTATACCCAGCAGTGACCAGGGGCCAACCCAGGCCTACTGCCCGCTGAACTCTCTCCTTTTCCCATGAGAACACAGGAAGCAGTGGCCGGGCTGGCAAGGAGAGGTGCTCTCAGCGCCAAGTACCTCTCTTGAGGGCAGTGGGCAGGCCCAGTTGCCTGAGCTGTGGCTCCATAGAGTGCGGGAACTGCTCCAGTGGCCCTGGGTCCAGGCTCACGGTGAAAGTGGCTTTGTTCCCGGCCCGGGCATAGTCCATTTCGGAGAATTTTGTGAACCACCTTGGGGAGGAGAGGAGAGAAGAGGTGGGAAGGGAAGTTCCTGCCCGGCACCCCAGCCTACCTGCAGCCAGGCTCCCTAGGCCCCCTCTTCACGAGGGACAGACTCAGTCCAGGGCACCAGGGCCCATACAAACCTGGGGGACTCCTCCCCTGCCCTTCCCCACCGCCCCTCACAAGCACTCACTCATTCACTTCCTCCTTGGTGCGATTGGTGAAAAGGAGACCAACTTCCCCTCTCAATTTCTTGCTGACCTACGGAAGTGGGGTTGGGTCGGTGTCACTGGAGCAAAGGCGCTCGGGTAGGGACCATTTCTGTCCCGGGGAGGGGCAGACACGGAAGGCTCACCTGGTGCAGGTTGTCTTTGTACTCGTCAGCTGGGCTTCGGCCCAATGCCACCATCATCACTTTGTTTTTGCCAAAGAACATTCTACCGAGAAAGGGGTATTGATGAAGGAACAACCCCGCTCCAGCCCTGGGTCCCTCCACCTGCCCAAGGCTGATGGCAGCCACCCTGTCTTAGCCCGGTTCCGTGGGATGATCTGTCCTGCTTTACACGAAAGGTTGCTTTAATGATCTGAACTGAGAGGAGGCTGGTGTGTAACCCCTAGCACAAGCGACACTCCACACAGAGTGTGCAGGGCTTGATATGCCTGGTGAGACCCCCCAGCTCTCCTGGGTCCCTGAGAGTAGGTAGGGGGATGGGTGCAGCCCCGGATCATTCCTGGTGGGGCTCAGGGGACCATATGTGCAAGGCAAGACACAACCCCCTGCCTTCTCTCTCAGGCCCCGACGCTCACCGGCTGTGCTTCCAGGCATTGCGAATGTCTTTCAGCTTGCTGTTCCTCATGTTGGCCACGGAGAAGATGAAAAGGTGCTTGTAGGTGTCCACACATTTCCGAAGCTGTGGGACAATTCAGAGGGCTCTGGAGACCAAGGGGCAGGCACACCCACTCTAGGTCCCCTGCAACTACACGGGCAGTGGGAGGGTGTGTGTGTGTGTATGTGTGTGTCTTTACTCTGCCCGGTGGTCAGGCTTGGCTGTAGTCAGCAGTGGGAGCAGTCCCCTCTCTGTTCTGACTCAACCCCGGGGGGGGGGAAGCTCAGGCAGCCACAGCCTGGGGGGGAGGGGTACAGGAAACAATGTTTGTGGGGGATAACAATGTCTGTGGGGGATGCCCACTTGGCAAGCTGCAGCCACCCAACACTAGGCTGGTGCCTCTTCTGACTGCAGGGATGCCCTTGTCCTCGGGCAGACTGAAAGCCCGCCTTCCCACCCCACCAGGGCCGACTTGATGGAGCAGCAGGCGTGGTCTCTGTCTTTTTCTTTAAACCCTGCTGTCAGCCTCAGCACCATCTCAGCAAGCAATTGCAAGGCCCGGAGGCAGAGCGAGCACGAGGCCTTACCTCTTCTATCAGGTTCTGTTTCAGTTCCAGGCCTTTCTTGGCAGTCTTGGTGAGGGACACTGACAGAAAGAGGAGGAGCAAGGGTGACCGGCAGCACTGGAGCCTGGAGACACGCTCAACTGAACCCAGCCCGTCAGAGGGAGCCAGCTAGAACGTTATTCTCAGGGTCCTCAGCACACCTAATCTTTGGAATTCCTGAGCCTGTCACACAAAATAAGGTGATGCTACACACTCTCCTAGCACACTGAGGGGTGTGTGTGTGTGTGGGGGGGGGGGGTGGCAGCCCTCCTGCTCCTGGAGCAGATGCAAGCTCCCCTTTGCTAGGAACTAGACCAGGACTGCACTGCCTATGGAGTCTCTGCTCAGGCCAGGCAGTGATGCCTCTCTGCAGGGGGTTCACCCCCCCACCCCCCGGCATTATAATGGCAGCTTCACCTTCAGGTTCAACTGCCTCTTCTTCAGATCATGGCCCCCCCCACCAGTGTCCAATCATGTCACACTTCACAGAGCACTAACTGTAAAGTCCCGGGTACTCCCCCGGAAGGGGCTACCCCCCTCCTAACCCAGCCCAGTATTCACATCCTTTCACAAAGGCCACACAGAAAAAGGGAATGATGCCCATAGGGCAGGCAGCACAGGAGGCAAACAAAACACAGCGCCCACTTCCCTGCATTCCCACTGCCACTATGTGGTCCATGAGCGGGTGAATCTCACTGGGATTATTCTGGTCTCACAGTTTCCATTCTTGGCATTTGCTCCCACACTCAAGAAATTGACAAAAAAACTTTTATTTTTAGGACCACACATGGCTGTGCTCAGGGCTCGGGACTGAGCCGTGGATGGCTGCATGCAAGGTGCTAGCCCACCTAGGATTGATTCCCAGCACTCCACATCTAGAGCACACTGCTGGGCCCCTGAGCACTGCCAGGTGTGTCCCCCAAAGAAAAACAAAACAAAACAAAGTCAAGGGGATGGAGAGTCAGTACAGCGGGCAGTGTGCTTGCCTTGCATACAGCTGACCTAGGTTTAATCCCAGGCACCCCATCAGGGAGTGAGCCCTGTGCACAGAGCCAGGAGTAAACCCCCAGCACTATCATGAGTGGCCTAGCCACCCCCCAAAGCAAAGTGAAACAAAGTCTTTCCTCGGCTCTCACCAGGTCCATCCTGATTTTAAGCAGTCCGGTGAGGCCTTGCCCACTCTGACTTTCCCTTTTCGCTCTCTCTCTCCCCACCACCTTAGCTCCTGTGTTGGGGGCTTGACTGTATTCCCTCTCCACGAAACATGAGCCCCCCAGGTCATGGGCCACTTACTCATTTCCTTGGGCGTTCCCCCATCTGTTTCTTTATCAGAGATTTTCTCCGGTCATTTATACAAGATAGTGCTTTCTCTGTTTTAAAACTTTATTTTGCATTCTGGGCCACTCCTGACATTGCTCAAAGGAACAAGTAGTAAAGGGATCAAACCTCCTTCAAAGCAAAGCAAATGCTGCAGCCGCAGTACCGGGCACTTCCCTGCCCCCCCCTCTCTTCCATCTACCCTAGGGTACTCGTCACTCCTATCTGACTTTTGGTATTTTGGAGGGGGTCTAATTGCTGTAAACCCCCAACGCCCCGAAAGCCAGGCTAGATTATTTACTGCCTGATTAGATTATTTACTCGGTTCTGGGATTGATAGTGAAGGGAGTCTGGCCCAGCCCTGTGAAGATGCGAGTGTGAGCACGCTCGATAGATGTTAGCGTCAAAACTCCAGACCTCGGGACCTCGGGGGAGATGGCCCAAAGGGCCAGAGCTCATGCTTGGCACGTCAGGGCCCTGGATTCCAGCATCGCCACCGCTGGGTGGGAACCCCCTCCCCAAACTAGAAAATTCCCCCACAAACTACAAAAAACTAGACATCAGAATGAAACTGCGTGGAAGGAAAGAAGGAAAACAAACAAAACAAAAAGGCGAAAGGGGAGATGAATGGTGAGCGTGTAGCCCAAACACCAAAAGTCTGATAGTGCCGAGGGAAAGAACTGCGCCAAGGAAGAGAGATGGGGCGCGGGGTGCGCGCCCAGAAACTTTTCCCAGCCCTGGGAAAAGCCTTGCAGGGCGGGCAAGGCAGCGTCTGCCCCGCCTGCAGCGCCGCTCCCGCGCTCAGGCGTCCCCCGGCCCCTGTCCGCGCTCGGGGGGAGCCCACGAGCCCCCAGCCCCCTCCCCCGGGTCCCGCTCCGGCGGGAGGCCGGCCCCAGCGCCCACCTTTCTGGTCCCGCTTGGACTTGGGCATCGCGCTGCAGACACGTGCGGCGGAAGGCCAGGAGGGCTGCGAGGACCCCGGCGGCGCGGGGGCTTCTGGGACAGGCGCCGGGGCTGCCCTCGCGCGTGCCTGATGCGCCCCGTCCCGCCCCGAGGCGGCTGCCCGCCGTCCCCTTGCGCCTGTGCGCGCGTGTGCGCGTGCGTGAGAGTCAGGAGAGGCGAGGGGGAGTCTCCAAGCCTAGAGCGCCGCCCCCGAGGCCGGGCGGGCAGGCGGGCGGCCCCGACTCGGTGGTAGCGCGGGGGCGGGGCCGGGCGCGGGGCTTGCCGGGCCGGCGGCGGGCGGGCGAGCGGCATCATGGCGGCGGCGGCGGCTGCGGCCCAGCTCGTCCGAGTGTGCCTGTGGGCTGCGCTGCTCGCGCCCGCGGCCGCCGTCTACGAAGACCAAGTGGGCAAGTTTGACTGGTGCGTGCGCGCGGGGCCGCGGCGGGCGGCGGGCGGGCCGGTGCGCGGGGCCCGGGGCCTTGCACTCGGGAGCCCCGGCTTGCGCGCCGCCCACGACGGAGCGGGGCTCCCTCTCGCTCGCCCGCATCTCCGGCGCAGTGTGGACCTCGCGGAAGCTAAAGCAGAAGCTTCGGTTGGCAGCGGGGCGTGAGAGAGCCCCCCGGGGAGGGGGAACCTTCGGAGACGGGTCCGGTTCGCTGTGCGGCTCGCCCGCCCGTGGAGCCATTCAAACCCGCTGGGCAGAGGTCGCCGTCGGCGCCGCCTCCCGCTGCAGGCACCTGCCGGGGAACGCCCGTGCAGCGCGAGCCAGCTCTCTGTCCCCCCCCCAAACTGGCGTTTCCTGTGTCCAGGGTTGTGAATAGGGTCCTGGGTTCGTAATGCAAGCACTGGACAGACGCAGTCCGGCTGTGCCCCGGGCTTGGAGCAGGACCCCCAACCCTCCCGAGAGTCACATTTGCGAGGAGCTCCAAGAGCTGTCACTCATTCATTCTTATTCTCCACCCCCCCCCCCCCCCTTTCACTTCCCGCATTGCACCGCCGTCCTCCTTTCCCTGTCCTTTCTCTTCCACCCTCTTCTGACCCTGAGCTACGGAAACGGCTTACGCTTGTTTGAATCTCAATTTTGCCACGTACAGGGGCTGTGATCTTGGGGAAAATCACTCGCTGTCGTGTCCTTTGCTTTATGTGTAGAATGTGTTTAAGTAACAGTCCGTAACCTCCCAGGAGAGGTGTAAGGATGAATACGGAAATATCTTTAAATGACTTAGTGTGAGACCTGGCTCATTGAGTGCAATCAGTAAGTGTTGTCTACCACTGTTCTTCAGGAAACACTTTATTGCCCAGAGCCCAGAACTGACACCTCCTACCTAGTGAAATATTTTCTACGTTAGATGAATGGTGTCAGGGATTTGTTGAGTGTGGCCCATGGTTCTAGCTGCTGTGGATACAGAGACAGGAGGGAGCTCATTCTATAGGGGGCCAGAAACATGAACATGTGAAATGTGACATTGTGACAAATACAATAGCAGCTGCATTTTTGGTTAAGTGGGCAAATGCTGACAAAATGAAATACTGTGTATTTACATAGTATGCATGGTACTCATTGGATACTGGCTATATGTGATTACAAGTTGAAAATAAACAAAGGTGGGAGAGAGAGTATAACAGGTAGTGTCCTTGCATTATGTGCAGCTGACCCTACTTAGGGTCCTGGAACCCCATATGGTTCATGAGCCCCACTAGGAGTGATCCCTGATCATAGCCAGGAGTAAGCCCTGAATTCTGCCAGGAGTAACCCCAAATCCAAAAACAAATGCAAAGTAAACACAAGTACAACAGCACATTAAAAAATTTATGGTTAGGGGGCTGGAGAGGGCGTTTGCCTTGCACGCGGCCAACCCGGGTTCGATTCCCGGCATCCCATATGGTCCCCTGAGCACTGCTAGTAGTAATTCCTGAGTGCAAAGCCAGGAGTAACCCCTGTGAATCGCCAGGTGTGACCCAAAAAGGAAAAAAAAATTGTGGTTAGTGGTAATTTTTTTGTTTTTGTTTTTGGCCCATAAATGCCAGTGCTCAGGGCTTCTTACTCTTGGCTCTGTGTTCAGAGATCATTCCTGGTGGGGTTGGGGGCACTATATGGAATGCCAATCATTGAACCCAGATCAGCCAAGTACAAGGCAAATGCCCTACCCACTGTGTGTGCGGGGGGTGGGGGGGTGTTGTTAGGTGCTTGGGGGTTGCCCCTGGTGGTGTTGCACTGAACTATGCAGGGCCTGTCTGGAGTCAAGTCTGGGCTGCAGCGTGGGAAGTATGCACTCCAGCCCTTTGAACATCTCCCCAGGCCATTTATGTATTTATAGCATATTTCGCAATGAGTCAATGGTCACTGTCACTGTCCTCCTGTTGTTCATCAATTTGCATGAGTGGGCCCAGTAACCATTGTGAGACCTGTTGTTACTGTGTTTGGCATATTGGATACATCCTTGGTAGCTTGCCAGGCTTTGCCTGTGTGGGCATGATACTCTTGGTAGCTTGGCGGGCTGTCCGAGAGGGGCGGAGGAATTGAACCCAGCTCGGCCAAGCCGGCCGCGTGCAAGGCAACCACTCTACCACTGTACTATTGCTCTAGCCCTTTGCAATGAGTAGGTATCAGATTTCTCAATTCTAGGGTATACTCAAAAAACATTTTGGGGGGAGAGAGATGTTCTTTAGTGGTGCGCTGGGGCTACTCCTGGAGGTGCTGACCCCAGGGATGTGGTCTGCATGGTTTGATGCTTTAGTGCTCTCTCTGTGCGGTGCTGAGGGCCACAGGGCTACCACTGGTGCTGCATCTGGGGACTGTGTGGTGCTGGGCTTTGAGCTGTCCGCCTAGGCTTTGATAGGTATTTGGGCTTTGGGCCACACCGGGCGGTTCTCAGGGTTTACTCCTGGCTCTGTGCTCAGGGATCAGTCCTGGCACTGCTCTTGGGGCCATATGTGGTGCTGGGCCCACCTGGGCCTGCCACATGCCAGACAAGCACCTTTTCTGCTGCTGTACTGTCTGACCTGGATAGCAGTAAGCGAGAGCATAGGATGAGAGTCAGAAGGTCTTGGTTCTGCATTCTGTTTCTTTTTTTGGTTTAGTTTCTGTTTTTGTTTTTGGCTCATCTGGTGATGCTCAGGGATGAGCCTGGCTTTGTTCTCAGGGATCACTGCTGACAGTGTCAGGGGAACCACTGGGTTGCCGGGGATTGAACCTAAGAACCTTAGCCCCAGTGTTTTATTTCTGATGCCAGTTTATCTCAATGGAAAGTGATTTGTTTCTCTCTAAAGTTAGAGTAAGATGGGGCTGTAGAGACAGTAGAGGCGGCATGGCACTTACCTTATATATGGGCAACCCTGCTCGAACCCTGGTACCACATATGATCCGCCGAGGACTACCAGGAGTAAGGCCTGAGCACTGCTAGGTATGGCCCCCAAACAATAAAAGTTAAAATATTTCTCCTCTGTACTTAATACAGTATTCAACGTGTGCAGTGAAATGAAGTATTGAAGATGCAGATAGAAAATGTCAAATGTTCTATAAACTCGTCTCTTTATTACAAGCTTGGTTTCTTCTTTGTTTTTAATTTTGTTTTTGGACCATGCCAATTGTGCTCAGGTCTTATTTCTGGCTCTGTGTTCAGGGATCACTCTTAGCGGTGCTTGGGGGACCATATGTGGTCCCGAGTATTGAACCAGGGTTCGCTGCATGCAAACAAGTGCCTAAACCTGGTACTTTCCTGCTGAGCTTAGTTTCTCTTTTTGGGAGGTGTGTGGGGGGGGGCATACTTTGTCATGCTCATGGCTTACTCCTGGTTCTATGTTCAGAAATCACTCCTGTCAGTCCTCGGGACCGGTGGGTTCAGGGAACCATATAGGGGATCGTAGATGGAACCCAGGTCAGCCACATAAAAGCCAAGTGCCTTATCTGCTGTACTGTATTATCTCTACTGACCCAGTGGTTTTTTTTTTTTTTAATTTTGGTTTATGGGCCACACTCAGCAATGTTCAGGGGTTACTCCTGGCTTTGCGTCAGAAATTACTCCTGATAGTGCTTTGGGGACCATATGGATGCCGGGGATTGAACCTGGGTTGGCCTCATGAAAGTCAAGTACCCTACCTGCTGTACTATCTCTCAGCCTGCCAGTTTTTTTCTCTTAAAACCAAAACCGGACTCTGGAAAGAAAGATGGCGGCCGCATGGGAGCCTGGTGGAGAGCAGGTCTGAGCCGGGGGTGGGGGTGCGATGGATACCTCATGGGACGGGGGGCGTTCCGGCCCGTCCTTCACACCCTACCGAGGTCACCAGTTGCCCCCCACGAGCGGCTCTCCAGCACGGCCACGGCCCCAGAAGCACAGATACCAATCTCTTAACTATCTGACTCTCAGTAGAAATACTTGCAGGGTTAATAAATAAAATAGCAGAAATCCAAAACCGTGTGGTCGCTATTGCGGCCGCGTGACATCATTTAATTCTTGAACCCAGCTGTAGAAAGCAGATCATTTCACAATGCTTTTTCAGCATGGCTGATGGGGGGGGGGGGGGCTAAAGTCTAAATAATAATGGTGCAACTTTTATCAAAACAATGAAGCTAGTCAAAGTAGACAGAGTGTTAACTAGAATTCAGCTACCCCACAGACATGGGGGGGGGGTTGGGGGGGTTTATTGGGGTTCTTCGTGGTGAAAAATAAGTATTGGTAAAGGGAAATGTGATTGATATTTGTATGACCGAGACCTAAACCTGAAAGCTTTGTAACTTTTCCCACATTGATTCAATAAAACAAACAAACAAACAAACAAAAAAACCAAAAACGAATTGGAGGTTGGGGAGATAGCTCCACTGGCTAGAACACACACTCTGTATTCTGATACCCAAGGGTTTCTCCCCCCCCCCCCCCCAAGAAAAAAATTACAAGTGTTGCTTTTGGTAGAGCTTTTCCTTGGCAAAATAATTCTCACACCTCAGGTCCATCTGGAGTTGATAACCCAGTGCACTGGGTAGTTCTTTATCCCGAGCTTTTGGGGCGTTGATGGCTGACTTCTGTGTTCCCTGTGCTTTTTTCTGCAGGAGACAGCAGTATGTCGGAAAGCTCAAGTTTGCCTCCTTGGAGTTTTCCCCTGGATCTAAGAAATTGGTGGTGGCCACAGAAAAGAATGTGATTGCAGCATTGAATTCTCGGACCGGGGAGATATGTGAGTGGCCTGTGGTAGAAGGCTGGATACTGGCCAGAGATGCAGAAGGGCCTGTAATTGGGGCTAGGGAGGTGACTCAGAGTGTGGGAGTGTACACCTTATCACTAGGAGCTCTGGGTATCACATCCAGAACTGCATGTCCCCAAGCATTGCTGGAAATGCCCCCACAACACATAGACCTGAATGATAGTATAGCGACGTAGGTAGGGCGTTTGCCTTGCATGCAGCTGACCTGGGTTCGATCACTAGCTTATGCATATGGGCCATATAGTCTCCTGAGCATCACCAGGGGTGATCCCTGAACATTGCGCCAGCACTGAGTACTGGTGTCATCCCCAAACCAAGAAAGAACCAAAACAAAGAAGAGAATTTCCTGTGACTTGTGACATGTTAGGGGAAAGTGGATCAAAAGATACCTCTCTTGGACCAGAGAGATCGTACAGTGGGTAGTGGGTCGGGGGCTTGCCTTGCACATAGCCCATCTGAATTCAGTCTCTGGCACCACATATGGTCCCCAGAGCCCCTTTGGGAGTGGTCCCCGAGCACTGCTGACAGTAAAAGGAAAAAAAAAGAGATATTTCTTAGAACGGGGACTATCTCAAAGAGGGTACAACACAGGCTTTGAGGGGAACTTTGGATTTGGTCCCTAGACCTTCATGTTCCTTGAGTTCTACCTCATTTGACCCACAAAAAGTAAAAAGAAACCCAAAAGATGCATCTCCTAGGGTTGCTGATAGGTTTGGTGTGTTTGTTTCTGATTGGGGGCCACACTGGGCAGTTGCTCTGGAGCTGCTCTCAGTGTGCAGAGCCCATGGGTCCCTCCTGGCAGTGTTCAGGGACTTTGTGTGTCTGGGACTTGGCGTGTCAGGCCCTTTGTACCACCTCCCCAGCCCTGAGGGCGGCCCCCAGTGGGACTGCATCTCTCAGACTGTCCTTTCTCGCCTTTCATGCCCTCAGATGGAGGCCTTATGCCCTTTTAAATAAGGTGTTGTCGCAGGGCCCACTTTGTGTCATGTGTGTTTGATGGGGTGGCCTGAGGGCCACAAAGTGGGGAGACCTCAGGTTGGGGCAGCAGAGGCTCCTCCTTGCCACCCAGCACCCCTTATGGCCTGTGCAATGGGGGTAGATGCTCGTTTCCTTTCCTGGAAACCAGCACTGCTGTGCAAGTGAAGACTAGGTGGGGGCGCTCTTGCACCTGTCTCGGGGTCCGAGTGACGCCTGCCTCTCCTGTTCCCCAGTGTGGCGCCATGCTGACAAGGGCACGGCAGAAGGGGTTGTGGACGCCATGCTGCTCCATGGACAAGGTAAGCAGCGCCTGTTTTCCTCTTGGTTCTGGTGTCGGCTTCCTCTCCTCATTCTTGGGTTCCTTCCTTGGACTGCGAGGGTTGGTGATGGGTGAGAGCGGGGAGTTCCCACTTGGAAAGAAGAGGGGATGCAAATGTCTTCAGTCTCGGGGTGAGGTGGGGGGCGTGAGGCCCCGCTCACAGATCCTGGAGGCTGCAGAGCGCCGGTCTGAGAGGTGACTTCACCTGCGTCGCTTCTCTTTCAGATGCCATCACGGTGTCCAACGGTGGCCGGATCATGCGTTCCTGGGAGACAAATATCGGGGGCCTGAACTGGGAGGTTACCTTGGACAGTGGCAGGTAGAGCAGCTGGACATACCGTGCATTTGAGTTCCCCTCGCTTTGCTGGAACACAGATGTGCATGACCAGCAACTCCGGGCCTTTTGGCTTTTCCTCCAGGACCTGCTCCAAAGAGCACTTTCCATCCACTCTTTGCTGTTCTTATGGTTAGGGAGCATGTATTGATTCTGCAAGCTTCTGTTTGATTTTTTTTTTTTAACCAAATGTGGGCTGGTGTTGGATAATGCTCAGGGACTCCTGCTATCAGGGATCAGTCCTGGTGGTGCTTGGGGGGGACCATGTAGTGTGGGGCGGATGATCCCAGGGCCAACTGCATGCAGGGACCTTACTGTACTGTCTCTCCAGCCCCACCGCCAGCCCTTATTTATTCAGCACCTCACGAGATAGATGCGAAGCCCCAGAGGGTGGAGAGCATGTTAGGAGATGTGGGGGCTGGGGAAAGCTGTGCTGCTGAGTGGGTGGGAGGAGGATCCAAGTGCCTATTCCTGCCCTCGGCTCCTGTGTCTGTGCTCCGGACAGTGTGCCCTCCGGAGGCTCTGCGGTGCAGGCACATTCACCGGGCCCCTGTGCTCAGTTTCCAGGCTCTCGGGCTGGTGGGCCTGCAGGGCACAGTGCGGTACGTTGCCGTCCTGAAGAAGACGACGCTTGCCCTCCATCACCTCTCCAGTGGGCACCTCAAGTGGGCAGAACATCTCCCCGAGAGGTAAGGCTGCCTTTCCACCAGGCTTCCTAGATCCCGACCCAAGCCCTAAGGTCCTGGCACCTCTGGGGTTGAGAAAGCTGATGACCAGAGCCACTAAAAGAGCTCACAGTGCCTGGGGCCTTCGAACCTTTGCTCCAAGTCACAGTAAACCTCTGCTTCAGGCTACGGGTGAGAACAACGCAGAAGTAGCCTAGGGCTGGTTGCAGACAGGGGTTTGAAGTAATTTCCAGAGGTGTGGATGGTGGAAAGCAGCTGGGAAGGAGCGGGAGGGAGGGAGGGAAGGAAGAAAGAATCAAAGCTTTTGCTTTGGTCAGTGGCCCACAGACATTGTCCTGCCAGTCTGCTGACAGCCTTGCCACTTAGATCTGACAGTGCTCTCAGCTGCTGGCTGGGGCCAGGGTGAGAATCACTGATTTAGCTCACCACTGGGCTTTTTCAGAGATTAGGGCATGGATCAGAAATGCATTTTTTTTTGAGGGGGGTGGGGTATTTGGGCCACACCTGGTGATAGTCAGACTTGCTCTTGGCTTTGCACTCAAGGATCACTCCTGGCAGGGTTTGGGGGGCCCTATGAGATACTAGGGATCAAGCCTGGGTCTGCTCCCTGCAAGGCAAAGTACCTGCTGTGCTGTTACTTTTGCCCAGAAACTCAGTGTTTTTTTTTTTTTAATTATTATTTCCCTTTTGGTTTGGGGGCCACACCCAGTGGTTCTCAGTGTGTGTACTATCTTGCTGACTCCAGAAACTCATTCTTATGGAACCCACTGCAAAAGCAGGCCTGTTCGGGGATTGCGGGACATGTAATGTGTCAGGTGTACCTTTAGGGGGCAGTGGTGTAACACTGATTGGTGCCCTTGGGCCTGTTGGTAAGTGTAGTGTTGCTGCCTCTACCTGGTTCTTGTTTGTTTGGGGGCCATAACCCGGCTGTGCCCAGGGCTGAATCCTGCTTTGTGCCCAGAGGTCATGCAGTGCTCAGGGCTTATTTCTGGCTCTGTTCATGAGTCACTGGCGGGACTCGGCTTACGCCTGCCTGTTTTCAGGGGTTACTCCTAGCGGGTCTTGGGCTGAGTCCTGGCCCTTTTCTTGGGGATCCCTCCTGGTGAGCTCAGGGGACCGAATGGGGATTAAATCCAGGTCACCTAAGTGCAACACCAGCGCCCTGTCGCTCCAGCCCCCACACCTGTACTTTTTATGAAAAGCTAGAAATTGGTGCTGGGTTTTTTTTTTCTCCTCTCTCGGCTGAGGGGCAATTTGTTGTTTGGATTTTGGTTTCTGGGCCAGATCTGGCAGTTCTCAGCACTTATTCCTGGCTCTATGATCAGGGATCACTCCTGTGGATCATGTGATATGGGATCCTGGGGAGACCATATGTGATACCGGGGATCAAACTGGAGTCAGCATTATGTAAGACCTGCATCTTAACCTCTGTACTATCTTTCTGGTCCTGCAAAATTGAGCTTTTAATATGTAAAGTCTTAGTCCTAAATGTTAGCAGCCTGGGCCAGAGCGATAGTACGGCAGGTAGCGTGTTTGCCTTGCATGCTACCAATGCAGGTTCAATCCCCGGCGTCCCATATGATCCCCCAAGTACTGCCAGGAATACCTGAGAAAGTATGAAACAGAGCTGGAGACATAGTACATCAAGTAAGGCACTTGCCTTGCAGGCAGATAGCACAGGTTTTGCCCTGCTACCACATGTGTCCCCTTGAGCACTGCCAGGAGTCATCCCTGAGTACTACCAGATACATCCCCCAAACAAACAACAATAACAAAAAATCACATACCCAGAAACCTGTGAGCCAAACCACTGACTTGGGGGATGCTGATTTGTGGAGCCTGACAGCCTGGTTTTGGAATTCATGAGGTTGGCCCGGTCCGGTAGCTGACCCTCTGCTCCCTGCCTTCCCCCCCTTTTCTCAGTGACAGCATCCATTACCAGATGGTGTATTCCTACGGCTCCGGGATGGTGTGGGCCCTTGGAGTGGTTCCCTCCAGCCACGTGAATATCGTCAAGTTCAATGTGGAAGACGGGGAGATTGTTCAGCAGGTACGAGCAGGCACCTGGCTGCAGGAGCCGCGACCTGGGGCTGGGGGTGGACAGAGCCTGTCTCCAGTGGGGACCCTGTGCCGGTGCCAGGCCTGTTTCTGTTCCCTGGTCCCGGTCACTTGCGGGCAGCCTCATCTGGCCCTTTGAAACTGTTTTTGCCCGGAGTGTTAACGAAACTGCATAGATCTGTCATTGCCTGAAAAATAAAGCCTTCACGTGGCAAATGCAACAGAGACATGCTTAGTTGAGGGTCAGGTACCGATAGTGATCTGGTGTGTTTTTTCCGGTGGCTGAAAGAAAAAGCCTGGCTGTCTCCAACTTTGAAGGTTCTCAGGAGGCGGACTCCTGGGGACAGCCAGGAAGCATAACTTTGGCCCTGGGTGGGCTGTGGTGGCAGTGCGGAGAGGGAGTGTGATGGCCTCACTGCTGTCCCCTGTCTGCCCCACAGGTCAGAGTCTCCACTCCCTGGCTGCAGAAGCTCGCCGGCGCCTGTGGCGTTGTGGATGATGCTGTCCTGGTGTGCCCTGACCCCAGCTCCCGGGCCCTGCAGACCTTGGCCCTAGAGACGGAGTGGGAGTTGCGGCAGGTCCCCCTGCAGGTGAGAGGCCAGGGGGCTCCCCCAGCCACGGACCTTGCCCCCACCCAGAGTCACAGTTGCTTCTGGAGCCCTGGCGGGCTCTGGCCTGGACAGGAATTAGAAGTGGGTCACTTTCCTCCTTACAGAGTCTGACTGGGGCCACCAGTCATGACCTAGTTTCATTCACAGTCAAAGTGGGGCAGAAGGTGCTCGCCTGGGATGGAGCAGTGACTGGTTGGCTTCTAGCCCTCCCTTCTCATCTATGTATTGTGTTTGGTTTTGGGTCACGCTCGGTAGTGCTCAGGGGTGACTCCCAACTGGGCTCAGGGGTCACTCCTGGCAGTACTTGGGGGGCTGGGGGGCTGTATTCAGTATTGGGGACCAAATAAGGACCGGTCTGCGCGCAAGGCAAGCATCTTCATCTCATGTGCTCTCTGCGCCCCCCTAACCTCCTTTCTTACTTCCCAGCCTCTCGACTTAGAATTTGCAAATGGATTCCAACCCCGGGTCCTGCCCACTCAGCCTAACCCAGTGGATTCTTCTCGGGCCCAGTTCTTCCTGCAGCTGTCCCCGGGCCACTATGCCCTGCTGCACTACCACGAGGGGGTCCTGAGTCTGCTCAAAAACTTCCCCCAGGTGAGTGTGTGCAGTGGGTTTATATGGGGGCAGCCAGGCAGTCAGGCTGAGGCTGGATGCTTTGGTTTTGTTTTAATTTTGGGGTCACACCCGAGGTATGCAGGGATTACTCCTGGTGATGCTCAGGGACCATACATGGTGCCCGGGATTGCATGTGGGTCGGCCACGTGCAAGGCAAGAACCCTGCCTGCTATACCGTCACTTGGGTCCTGAAGCCTTGCTTCTGAATCTCAGAACGTGCTCAGAACAGATATTTTTCCCTAAGTAGTTTACTCTGGGCGGTAGCCTCAGAGCAGAAACGGAAAACTTCCGAGAACATCAAAGGGTCTTTGAGAGGCAGAGTAAAAGTGCGCATTCACCTGAGTCCATGGGATAGTAGACCTTTACTGTGAGCTTCCCTCTAACTGCTAGAGCACTGGGATTAGGAGTGGCCTGGGCGCGTGTCAGAAGACGGGAGAGGCCTGGTTTCAGTGGTGCCTCACTCTGCTCCCATTTGCCCTGGTTGTCATGCTCTGAAGTGGAGAGAGCTTCACTCGGCCCTGGAGGGGAGCCCCTGGGAGCAGTGGGCTTCTCCAGGCTACGTTTTGGGGCTCATGACTTCTTATTTCCGCTAGACTGTCCTCGTGAGTGTTGCCACCACTGGAGAGAAGACTGTAGCTGCAGTCATGACCTGTCGGAGTGAAGCGGTGAGTGTCTGGGGCAGCAGTCAGCGCCCTGCTGTCCTGCTCCCTGCCAGCAGCCCCAGGGACACAAAGGCAGGCTCGTTGGCCCAAGCGGTGAGAGATGGGGCAGAGGTAGGTGAGAATACGTCCTCGTCGCCTATATAGAGCACCGGCACGCTCATGGGGGACACTGAGATGATACGCATTGGCTCACATGCTCACCCTGTAGCGATACTGACATGACATTTATTGTAGCACACACACTGGAATGATACTGAGATGATACACACCGGAGTGACTGAGATACACAATAGTAACGCAGGCTCACTAGGACACACATACTCACATGCTGCAGCACACATAGATTTCTTCATACACACACACACACACACACACACACACACACACACACTGGAGCGACAGATCACACAGACACAGGAATGACACAGATTTCACACACATACACACACCTGAAGCAGCACTGAGATATCTCTCTCTCACATACACACATACACTGGAGACACCGAGATCTCTCCCGCTCTCTCTCTCTCTTTCTCTTTCTCTGTCATGCATACACACACACACACACACACACACACACACACACACACACACACACACACACACACGACCCTGGGATGACAGTTGTTGGCTCCTTGGGTCTGCTCAGTGCCTGGAGTGAGCAGGGAGACTTACCTTCCTCCCCACCGCTCAGAAGACAGAGAAATGAAAGCGTCAAGTTGAGGACACGGAGTGACCCTCTGGCTGACTTTTCTCCTTTGTCCTTTTGTCCGGCAGAAACCAAGCAGTGCTGAAGAAGTGTCTGTGGGGAACTTGGCCGAGAAGTCTCAACCACAGGTAGGCTGTGCTAGGCAGTGTGTTTACTCAGAGACTTCGGAGGCTGCCCAGAGAAGTGAGGGGTGCTCTGTGGCTCTTAAATGGGCGCTCTATGATTCTTTAGTGCGTCTCCTAGACTCAAAGAGGGTTTTGGTGTTTAAAAAATTTGGGCCACACCTCATGAGCTGGGGCAGTAGGGTGTTGTGCACTAATGGCTTAGTACCTGGAGGCACTCCCAGAGATACTTAGGGGGCCCTGTAGTGTGTGCCTGAGATGATCCAGGGGTTTTCATATGGAAAGCAAATGATCCAGCCCTTTGAGCCATTTCCCTGGCGGAGCTTTCCAAGTACTATAGATTAAACCATTACTGGGGCCAGAGAGATAGTACAGCGTGCCTTGCACATGGCCGACCTGAGTTTGGTCCCTGGTACCACATATGGTTTGGTTCCTCTGAGCACTGACAGGAGTGGAATCTGAGCACAGAGCTAAGAGAGTAAGCCTTGAATACAGCCAGGTATGACCCTAACACACCACCCTTAACACACACACACATAAAACATTATTTTCTTTTCAGTTGGGAGATTAGGAAGTAGAAGCCTTGGAATTAGATGGATCTGTCTCCCCATTTCCTTTGGGATTCCAGTGGGGGCTCTGAATCTGCTCTGTGCAGTTCCTCCAAAGCTGAGTGGCCTGAGGCAGGGGTTCTGTCCCCTCCCTCTCTTGCTCTTCGTAGGGTGTTGCTTCACCTGCTCCTGTTTTTAACCTCTCCCTGCTACACCATCTGCTCCTAACACCAGTGCAGATTTGGTCACTGTGTGATCCAGGTTCCTTATTTTAGTCGTCGGACTGAACTTCCTTTTCTCTGCGTGGATATTCCCTTCTGGTGTCTGTCGCCAGTCCTTGGACTTCTTTGGGAGATCCTCTGGTAGACCCGTGCCTGTGTGTTCCCTTAGGACTCGCCGACTTGCTTTAACCAGACCTACACCATTAACCTCTACCTGATGGAGACAGGTCGGCGGCTGCTGGACACCACTATCACCTTCAGCCTGGAACAGAACGGTACTCGGCCGGAACGGGTGAGTGCAGCCTCTGTCTTCAGGCTCTGTCCTGTGGGCACTAATCATGGAGTCCCACCACTGCTTCATACCCTAGAGTCAGGCTTTCTGAGTGTAGTTTGGTCCCTCTTGAGCCACTGACTTGTCATCCGTCCCAGTGAATGACAGTCATGGATGCTTTAGCTGTGCCACTTACTGTTGCATCAGGCTCTGTGCTTTTGAGCTTTGAAAGAATCATCCACCAAATTAATTTGGGGAGGGGGCTTCCTTTAGTAGTGTGAGTGAGGTGTGGGAGGTCATGAAGTACCAGAGATTAAATCTGGGGTCCTGCACATACCAGGCATCGGCCTAGCCCTCTGAGCCACCTGCTTCAGTGGATATAGTCCACAATGGTCTGACGAAGTTATTCCTGCCCATGGTTACAAACAAGGAAGTTGCTCAGCGTAATTCAGGACCCCTTGCCAACTCTCAGTCTTCAGAAATTCTGATGCCTCGGCCTGCGCTCTGAACACAGATTTGCCTCTCTACAAACCTGGTCATGTTCCTCAGCCTCTGTTTGGCTTTTTCACCTCCAAATTGGAAAATGTATGGTATCTGAGAGATTGTTACAGGGGTCAAGGTTGCACCCTTGCACGCTGCTGGCCCTAGTTCAATCCTTGGCGCCACATATGGTCTCCTAAGTGCCACCAGGAGTGATCCCTGAGCACAACCGGATATGGCCCCCAAGCTGAAAATAAAATGGAAAGTCTAATGGCCCGCTTTGGCTGTGTGTGAAAAGAGCATGATGATTGGTGTGAAACTAGAGACATAGATCGGGAGGTCTGAGGTGGAGTCAAGGCACCTTTGTCGTACCTGATCCTGAGAGTCTGGGAGTCTGGGTGGTGACCATATTGTCCCTCTGTCAACTCTCGTCCTAACCTGCATCTCCACCAGCTCCTGGTGTTGAAGCTGGGTGCCCTGGGAGACCTCTCTGGGCTCTCACTCACTGCCCTGGTTCTGGCTGTCTACCCACAGGTGTACCTCCAGGTGTTCTTGAAGAAGGATGACTCGGTGGGCTACCGTGCCCTGGTGCAGACGGAGGATCATCTGCTGCTTTTCCTGCAGCAGCTGGGTGAGACCTCGTTTCATTCCGGGCTTCCCGCTCAGACTGCTGTGGGACTGTGGACAGGCTTCTGGGATGAGTTCAAGTGAGGTGTGCCCCGATGCTCTCCAACTCTGTCCCTCGGTTTCTTCTTGTCCGTCCCCTGTCCTGTACCCCCAAGGCTGGTGTGTGTTTGTTTGATAATATATTGTGCTGGGGACAGGACCCAGCCTCATTCATGCAAGGCACGTATTCCACTGAGCCACAGTCACCTCTTATAGGCATGCTCTCTGCCTTGACCCACACACACATGACACTGGGGTCAGGGTGATACTGGAGCCTCCCAGAATGTCCTCTTGGGAGAGTGGGGTGGCAGGCTGAGAGTGTAACTGGGGTTTGTGCAGCAGGGAAAGTGGTGCTGTGGAGCCGGGAGGAGTCACTGGCCGAGGTGGTGTGCCTGGAGATGGTTGACCTGCCCCTGACCGGGGCTCAGGCCGAGTTGGAGGGAGAATTTGGCAAGAAGGCAGGTAGGTGCAGCAGGTGGGTGGCAGGGCTTCTGGAGGGGTGCTGGGGAGCGTTTGGTCGCTAGCTCATAGAGGTACGGTCTCCTGGCTGAGCGAGTGCCAGTCTGTCCTGAACCAGCTTCGTGTTTCTGGCCTGCAGTGGGCCAGTGGTTAATGGGGCCAGTCTGTGTTTGACCGGAGTGCTCTGACCATCCTCTAGAGTAGGAGACTGAGCGATGAGCACTTTTCACTCTGTAGAGCAATAGCTCTTACATCTGAGTACCTCACATCTGTCAGGTTACTGTGACAACACCCCAGCTTACTGACCCCAGAGTGACTGACAGCTCCCTCAAGATGGGGCTGGGTGGATCCCGCCATCAGAGACCAGTGCCTGGTGCCCAGGAGATGGGGCTCTGGCTCTTTGGGTTCCGTCCTGCCTTCCCTCCCCACCCTGCACCCCCATCCCCCTCCCAGCCTTTGTGTGGCTCTCCCAGGGTTATTTATGAAGGGTCTGCTCTGGGCATGGTGTCCTGCTCGGCACTGCACATTTCTCAAGTGGCGATAATTAATTCGATGTTACTGTTTATTTCTGCGGCCCGGATCCAGCAATTCAAGGTAAACTCTGCTTTCTGGCCCCTGGCTGTCTGCCGCCTGCCCACGTGGCTAGCTTCTGATTAGTTGCTTTTCTTGACCCGCATCACTCAGGGCCGCTGCTGTGTGTGAGGCTGCTACTGTGTGGCTTGTCCTGGGTGCCCGTAGCCTCTTCCCTGTGCTGAGGTTGATGGGATTGAATCCTGGGCTTCAAACCAGCAAATAATGGGAGAGAGGAGATGCCTGGGCGCTGCTCTCACAGTGAGAGCACTTTGAGTCCCTTGCGCTTGGTGAAATGTGACCCTGATCTCCATGAGAGTCCAATTTGCTCCTTGTACCGATGAGAACCGGGAGGCCGGAGGGTTCAATACCTTCCCAGAGTCACTCAGTCGGTGGGGGGTGACCTGGGATTTGCACCCAAGTTTGCCAAACCGTTAGAACCCAGACGGTTTCTTTCCTGTGCCGTTGGCACTCGCAACTGGTGGCAGCAGTTGGTCAGTTGGTGTAGGTTAAACAGGCCCCCAGGCAGGAAGGGAATGGAGCAGTGTGACAGTCTTCCTTTGCTTTTGTTTTGGGGCCACACTCCATAGTGCTCTGGGGCTAATCCCCGGCGCTGTCTTCAAGGGATCACCCCCAGAGGTGTGTGGGGGATGGCAGGGATCGAGGCCGACCTCCACGTGCACAGCATGAAAGCATGCGCTGTGTGTGTCCTTGGCCTGCTGAGTTCTGATTCTGGCCTGATTGTGGGAAATCGAAGGGCCTGTTTGAGAGATGCGTGTGTGGGCGCTCCTGCACCCCTGCGCCCCCCACGCCCTGCGCCCTCTTCTGGGTGGGTCATGATGCCTTCATTTTGGGATGTGGGGCTGTGTGTGATGGGGACAGTCACCGCATGGTGGTCTGCTGCATGACTCATCCCTGACCGCTTGGTCTCCTGGTTCCAACGTGCGGCAGGGCAAGACCACAGAGCCAGGTGAGTGGGCCTGTGAAGTCGCTGCTGCACTGGGCTGTGCCTGTGTGTGGGATTCGCCTTCAGGCACAGCACTGCTTCGTGGGCTTGCTGTGGGGGCTGGGCGTGACCTGAGAGCTCCAGAGGACAAGACCCCACGGTAGGGAAAGGAAGCCGCCCTCGCTGGAAACACCGGCCCTCACCTCGATGCCTTTTCCTCGACACCAGATGGCTTGCTGGGGATGTTCCTGAAACGCCTCTCTTCCCAGCTCATCCTGCTGCAGGCATGGACTTCCCACCTCTGGAAAATGTTTTACGACGCGCGGAAGCCTCGCAGTCAGATCAAGAATGAGATCAACATTGACAACTTGGCCCGAGATGAGTTCAACCTGCAGAAGATGATGGTGATGGTCACTGCATCAGGCAAGGTCAGGGTTCATGGCCCTGGTGGGAATCTTTGAGATTCCAGACGTGGGAAAGCTAATGTTGAGCTCGGGTGCGCATCTGCAAGCAGAGGGAATCAGTTCTTTTGAGTTTCTCGAAACTAGCCAGTAGTTTCTCTTGCAGCTTTTTGGCATTGAGAGCAGCTCCGGCACCATCTTATGGAAACAGTATCTTCCTAGTGTGAAGCCAGACTCGTCCTTTAAGCTGATGGTCCAGAGAACCACTGCCCACTTCCCCCACCCACCCCAGTGCACCCTCCTAGTAAAGGATAAGGTAAGGTCCCCCAGCCACCTGAAGTGAACCAAGGAGGTGTGGCTTTTGAGGGTTTTATTTCTATGCTAGGGCTTACTCCTGGCTCTGCACTCAGGGATCACTCCAGGCAGGGCTCGGGGACCATGTGCGGTTTGGGGGATCACATCCAGGTTGGCTGCGTGCATGACTCCCTACCCTCTACTCTCTCCGGTCCCTGTGTTCTTCCTCTGTTCGGAGGGATGAGGGGTTCAAAGCTGTTAATGAGTGCATATCGTGTAGAATTTTCTGACTTGATTTTAGCAGGAAATTGTGTTTGGTCAGCTCTCCTGGAGTAGCTGCCCTTTCGTGGCTGACCTGATACTTGGCCTCTGTGTTTTGATGCCCCGGGTCTGACCCTGTGCCTCCTACGTGGAAGGGGTGCAGGTGTGCATGGGAGGTGTGCACTGTACCCCCGGGCCACTCCCTTGTGCCTGCCACTGGACCTTTAGACATGCTCATCACATGCCTTTGTTAGTTTTGGTTTTCATGGAGGCTTGGTTCGTTTGTTCCTTTTTTTGGGGGGGCCACACCCAGAAGTACTCAGGGCTTACTCCTGGCTTTATGCTCAGAGATAACCCCAGGTGGTGCTGGGTAGACCACATGGGGTTCCGGGAATCACACCCAGGTTGGCTGCTTGCAGGCAAATGCCTTACCTCTAGTGCTGTTGCTCCCGCCCCCACATTCTTTTCTTTTTTCAACATCAGTCTTGTGGACCGTTCGCCTTTAGCCAAGACTCGGTTTTCCCACAAAGGGCACAGATGAGGGTCACCCCTCACGCTGGGCAGAAGCTCCAGCTTTCCAAACTTAACCCTGGGGATCTGCATCCTTCGCATTTGGTAGCGCCTGACGGTGTGACTGCCTCTTTCAGGAGACAGGCCTGAGTTCTCTCTATGTCTTCAATCCCATCTTTGGGAAGTGGAGTCAGGTGGCACCCCCAGTGCTGAAGCGCCCCATCTTACAGTCTTTGCTTCTACCCATCATGGACCAGGACTCTGCCAAGGTGCTGCTGTTGATCGACGATGAGTATAAGGTACGCATCCCCCAAGGGGCAGGAGCGCATCCAGGTGGAGTCGGGGCCGGGGAAGGGGTAAATCAAGGAGGGGGCAGGTGTCTGCACGGTGTCCCTGCACACCTTGATTGCTGTTGCAGAGCACAAGCTCCTTTTTCCTGGAGGGGTTGTTGAGCCTTCCCTGGCCCTTTGCTCCAGGATCACTCCTGGCAGTGCTCGGGGTATTGTGTGGATCTGGGGATTGAACCAGGGCCTCTTGCATTACAAGGCCTGGGCTCAGCCTGTTGAGCTGTGCCTCTGGCCCAACACCATTTCTCAACAGAATTGCATTTTAGTTCTGGTTGAGTAGAGTAGGCTTGAATTGTTAACTGTTTCCTTCTCCCGGGTGAGAGCTGATAACAAGTGTTTGGAACTGCTTAGAGATTCCTAACCTTGTCCTTGAAATCTTTCCTGGCACCGTCTGGGATTTCTGAAGGTCACGGCTTTTCCCGCCACTCGCAACGTCTTGCGGCAGCTGCATGAGCTTGCCCCTTCTGTCTTCTTCTACCTGGTGGATGCAGAGCAGGGGCGGCTCAGTGGATATCGACTTCGAAAGGTAAGGAAGTGGCGTCTGGACAGGACCCTGGGTCTGTGGGATGTGGATGTTCCTGTTTAGCTAAGAAGTTGCGAATGGATTATTGGTTTCCTTGCGAGCTTGCATAGGCATTATTCTGGTGCCTGGCTCAGCCTCAGTAGTTGTGTTTATTGAGAAGCTAGCTCCTGCAAGACAAGCACAGTTCTGGGTGCTACAGAAAGAACTATGCACAATACACAAAAGCTCTGGATTTCCTTTCTTCTCGGAGTGGATGCCCCTGGAGTACCTAGAGGGGCTACTCCTGGCTTTGTGCTCTGGAGTCGCTGCTGGTAGTGCTTGGGGACAACATACAGTGCCAGGGATTTGGGCTGGGTATTCAAGCTGGGGCAGGATACAAGGCATCCTGCAGGATACATCCAGGGTACAAGGCCTTACCTCTGGACTGCGTCCCAGCCCCGGAGCTTTCATTTGCTGTTGCAGAGGGATGTTTCCTCTGTTCTTGGGAGAGTGGAAGATATGTATGAGTTTATAAGTTAACCGGACTTCCTACAGGAAAATGGTGCTCTGAATTGTCTCACTACTCCTGTAGTTCTCCACTTCTTCTCTCCCCTCCCCCCCCCCCCCCCCCCCCCCGCAAGGCAAGCTCTGTACCTGCTGTACTCTCTCTCTCTAACCCCCAGAGGTTATCTTTCCTTTATTCCCACCTTGCCCCTCAGGTATCTTTCCTTCCCAACCTTATCAGTCTGAATGCTTCCTGCTAATTTTCGAGGAGGTGTGATCTCTGTCCTTGTACTAGAAACCCAGGACATGTCCATGGTTCACGGTCACGGTCCTCCCGTTGTTCATCGATTTGTTCGAGCGGGCCTAGTAACGTCTCTGTCATGAGACTTGTTGTTACTGTGTTTGGCAGATCGAATACGTCACGGGAAGCTTGCCAGGCTTTGCCGTGCGGGCGAGATACTCTCGGTAGCTTGCCAGGCTCTCCAAGAGGGGCGGAAGAATTGAACCCAGCTCGGCCGGGCCAGCTGCACACAAGGCAAAAGCCCTACCGCTGTGCTATCGCTCTAGCCCAGTGCCAACTTTTCCACCTTCCTCACGGCAAGTGCTGGCTCTCTGCCCCCGCCCTAGGATCTCACCACGGAGCTGAGTTGGGAGCTGACTATCCCCTCCGAGGTGCAGCACATCGTCCAGGTGAAGGGGAAGCGCACCAGCGAACATGTCCATTCCCAGGGCCGTGTGATGGGGGACCGCAGTGTCCTCTACAAGGTATGGTCCCATCTGGCAGCAGGCATTAGGATCTGGGAGATGGTGTTCGGTGGATCACTGAAACCAGTTGTTTTTGGAGTTTGAAATGGGTGTAAGAAATCCTCCAAGAATTGTGATTAGGGCCAGAGCGATGGCACGGTGGGTAGGGCACTTACTTGCCTTCCACCTGGTTGACCCAGGTTTGATCCCCAACATCCCATATGGTTCCCAGATTCCCTCCAGAAACGATCCCCAAGCACAGAGCCAAAAGTATGCCCAGAGCACCACTGGGTGTGGCCACCAAACCAAAAACAATAAAAGAAGGGTTTTAACCAAGCCCTCTTCTAGGGCATGCTAGCCGACTCTCTCTGCCCCCCCCCCCCCCCCCCCCGCGTAGGCCCACCATGGAGAGGCGATCAGGAAGTGCCATCCTATCACTTTCTCCCTCTCTATTATAAACAACTTTTTTCAGGAGAGTTTTAGGGAAGGGGATGGCATTTGGGGTACATCTTGCAGTGCTTGGGTTCTACTTCCAGCTCTATATCAGGGAGTCATGTCGTGTCTGGGATGGAACCAGGCTTTGTATGCGTGCAAGACAGATGCCTTATCCCTTGTATGTTTCTTTGTCCCTGAAGCTTTCTCTTCCTGTCCCCAGAGCCTGAACCCCAACCTGCTGGCTGTGGTGACAGAGAGCACAGATGCCCACCATGAGCGCACCTTCATCGGCATCTTCCTGGTGGATGGTGTCACCGGGCGCATCATCCACTCCTCCGTGCAGAGAAAAGCCAAGGGCCCCGTCCACATTGTGCATTCGGAGAACTGGGTGGTGGTAAGGAGGGGCAGCAAAACCGTCACCCCGATGGGGGCTGGAGCAATAGAACAGCGGGCAGGGCGCTTGACTTGCTCTCAACTGACCTGGGTTCGATCTCCTGTCACCCCCATGTGGTTCCTCGAGCCCCACTGGAGTGATCCCTGAGTGCAGAGCCAGGGGTAACCTGCTGGCTATGGCCCCCTAACAGTGGGACAGTTGCAGAAAAATATGTGGCCCCAAAAGAGAGGGAGGGTGATCAAGGGGGAGTATGAAAGGAAACAGGAGCGATTTTCCTGAGGGCAGGGGTGTGGCTCAGTGCTAGAGCACTGGCCTTGCGTGTGTTTTGGGGATGTCACGTCCCGGTTGTCAGCAGAGGGTGCTGACATGGGCGAGACTTCGGCAAGCCTAAGCTGGCACTGCTTATGTCTGTGCCAGCTCTTCCATTTCCTGCATAGACAGCCTGGAACTAGTGACTTAGGTTCTCCAGAGTGTATCATCTCCCAGATAGGGGTACAAACAGCCTGCCAGGAGTGATTCCCGAGCGCAGAGCTGGGAATAAACTCTGAGCCCCACCCGGTGTCGCCCAGCAACCCCCAAACCAGAAGACAAATGAAAAAATGAAAGTCCTCTAGAGCTCGGTGGCAAGAGGGAAACGGGGTGCCGGGTGGCCGCTTTCTCTCCTTCTCTGGAGGTTTGGGCAAAGGGCTTTCCCTGGCTGTGTGCCCTGTCCGGTGGCTGCGTCAGCTCAGCCCTGCCTCAGCCGCGTTCCTCTGTCTCTGCAGTACCAGTATTGGAACACTAAGGCCCGGCGCAACGAGTTCACTGTGCTGGAGCTCTACGAGGGCACCGAGCAGTACAATGCCACCGCCTTCAGCTCCCTGGACCGCCCGCAGCTGCCCCAGGTCCTCCAGCAGTCCTACATCTTCCCCTCCTCCATCAGTGCCATGGAAGCCACCATCACGGAGCGGGGCATTACTAGTCGACACTTGCTCAGTGAGTGTCGGGGAGCATCTCGGCTGTGAGGGGTTTCCTTGGGCAGCCAGGGTAACGGCCAGAGCGGGAGAATAGCAAGAAGGCCGTTATGCCAGCAGAAAGGGCATCTTAGTTAGTGAGCACTGAGGTGGGGATAAGAGAATTTGTCTTTCTTGGCTCTTCTTTTTTATTTTGAGGTAGGTTTGCAGGCAGGCTAGGTCTCCTAAGAGGTACTCAGGGTTCCTGTGCGCCACTCGTGGCAGTACTTGGCCAGCTGGGCTGTACAGTTCAGGGTGGTGCTGGTCCATTAGGCCCTCATTCAGCAGTGCTTTGGAGTGGAGGGCATGCAGTGCCAGATCGAACTCTCCTTGGTCCTGTTTCTGCTGCACTGCTCCCCTTCTCTGTTTAGGGTTTTCTCCTCATGTAGAAAATGGAGCCCTGATGTCACTCCTCACCAGGCAGCCTGGCCCACGTTGCAAACTGACAAGGGTTAATTCAGCTCCTTCTGAAGTCTAAGTCCAGGACGTGTGACTAATGAACAGGCTGCTCTGGCTTGTTTTCTCTCGTGTGTTGGCTTTTGGTTTGGGGGTCATGCCTGGCTTGGTGCACAGGGGACTGTGCAATGCTGGGAATACCTTTCGGGCCTTCATTGTGCGGGGCCTGTGCTCTAACTCACCAGGCTCGCTCTCCCACCCCCGTCTCGCTTATTTCCCCAAAGGTGGCTGGCTGGGACTCTTGATGTACACTGGGGATGCTCTTAGTGTCAGTTAGGGGGGCAGGTGGTGCTCATGTTTGTTTTTCAAGTCCAGCCCACTGTCCCCGAAGCTGGCCCTCTCTCCCTGGACCCCAGCACGGATGCGGCACACGTGGCTGGGGATGGTTAATGGCAGGAAGCCGGGTTTCGGGGCCTGAGAGATGACTCATAGGGCCGGAGCACAAGCTTTGCCTGTGGGATCCCTGGGCTTTATCCTTGCCACTGCATGATCCTCTGAGCACCACAAGATCAGCCCCTCAGCACTGAACTAGGAGCAGCCCGTGAGCACTGAGGTGGGGATAAGCAAAAACAAACAGAAAGCTCCATTAGGTTGGGCAGGGGGTGCAGGAGATTTTAGTGGCCTACCATGATTTCCTCTAATTGGCCTCCCTGTTGGGGCCAGAGAGAGAGAGAGCACAGTGGGTAGGGAGTTTGCCTTGCACGCAGCCAACCTGGTTTTGCTCTCTCTCTAGCGACCCATTTGGTCCTCCGAGCCTGCAAGAATGGTTTTTGGGAGTACAGTCAGGAGTATACCCTGAGCACTGCTGGGTGTACACCCGACCCCCTCAAAGAATTGTTTTTATCAGCCTCCATTGTCTTGAGTCTAGGACTTATTTTCTCGTTTCTCAGAATATGAGAAGAAGTGAGTGACTAGAAGGGGTAGAGTAAGCACAGAGCTAGGAACCCCCGAGCATAGATGGGAATAGCAGCTGAGCATCGCTGCGTCTGGTCCCAAACCTCTGACCCGCTCTGCCCTCCCCCTCAATGAAAAGAAAAAGAGGAGAAAACTAAATCTCCATTTAGACGTTGGCATGTCACTGGCTTGTTTGTTTTAGACCAGATAAAGAAGACTTACTTTATGTTTCTGAGTCAGTGTTTCTGTTCCCCTGGGAGTGGAGCCATGGCCACTCATGTCTGTGTCCTTCTCTCTGTGCAGTTGGGCTGCCTTCCGGAGCAATTCTTTCCTTGCCCAAGGCTCTGCTGGATCCCCGCCGTCCTGAGATCCCGACGGAGCAAAGCAGGTGAGTTGGCTGTGGGCCGCGCTGAAGGCTCAGGCGCTCTCGATCCTGACCTGCTGGCGCAGTATGGTGTGCTCAGCCTGCCGTGAGCGAGCCAGAACAAGCCTGCCAAAGGTCCCTGTCCTCACGAGCTCGCCCTCGGAGGGCAGAGAGGGACAACAAATAAGCGAGGGACGCAGGTTGTACAGACTAGGGAGTACAAGTAAAGGGACGGTAGCATTGGATGTCTGGGTAATATTTAGGGTTTTGTTTTTTTGTTTCAGTTTTTTTTTTTTTTTTTTTTTTTTTTGGACTACACCCGGCTATGCTTAGGGCTTACTCCTGGCTCTGCACTCAGGGATCACTCCTGGTGTGGCTCAGGGGACCATATGGGGCAGCCGCACGCAAGGCAAGCACCTTACTCGCTGTACTATTTGTTCCGGCCCCAGGGGGTGCTTCTGAGACTGGGAGAGCTCTGTAAAGCTGACTTATAAATAAAGACCTGAAAAAGGTGAGAACTTAGCCTTGTGGGACTGCAGAGATAATGTAGGGGTTAAGGCACTTCCCTCATCTCCAGTGGACCTCATTCCACATATTTTTCCTTTGAGCACCACCAGGAGTGACCCCTGAACACGTAGCCGGGAGTAGCCCCTGAGCACAATTGGGTGCACCCCTCTCCCCCATAAAGTTGGTCAGTGGAGATCTGGGAAGAACTTTGCAGGCAGAGGGAATAGCCAGTATAAATGCCCCGAGTCCGACTGGCAGGAGGGAGCACTAGGAAATGAGTCGGGAAGGTCCGGCTGGGGTGGTCACGTGGGGAAGCCAGTAGTTTATATTTCCAGCCATCTACTGTGTGTTTTGCCTCTGCCCTGGCTTTTCTTCTTTAGGAACTGTGGGCCGGGCAGGGAGACAGTTAACTTTGGTCTTTGTACATTAGGAAAGGAGAATGGTTTAGAGAGGGGAGATTAAAGCTGGGGAAACCCTTGGATAATGGTGTTTTCTGCCTATGAGGAAGCCTTATCACAAAAAGCAGGAGAAGGGGATGAAGACACAGAACAGGGCTAGTAAGGCACTTCCCAAATTCAGTACCTGACATCATAAGTGATCCCCTGAGTTCTGACAGGAGCCATCCCGAAGCATAGCCGGGTGTGCACCCCAAGCCCCTTCCTACTCTCTCCAATTGGAAAAAAACAGAGCCCACAGGAATTATGAGTGGCTCTGTGTGTAGGTTTTGTTTTGGTTTTTGGTTTTGATTTTATTATGCAAGGCAAGCGCCCTACCCACTGTACTATCACTCTGGCCCCTGTTTATAGGGTTTTGTTTGTTTTGTTTTGGGGCCTCACCCAGGGATGCTCAGCGGTTAGCCTGGCTCTGCGCTCAGGAATTACTCCTGGTAGTGCTCGGGGGACCACAGGGGCCGCTGGCATGCCAGGCAAGTGCCGTATGTGCAGCACTATTGCCCTGGCCCCGTACGTATGTTTCGTGGCCCCGTTGTTCCTTCCCTGCCATAAAATTTTAGTTGTCTCTGGGTTTGATTGTTTGTGTTTTTTGGAACACACATGTGAGAACAGGAATGGGCTTGCTCTTGGCTCTCTGCTCAGAGATCACTCATGGTGAAGTTCAGGGGACCATATGGTGTGTTGGGGATCAAGCCTAGACTGGGTGAGTGCACAGCACTTCTCTAGCCTCCTGGGTTACTGTTTGAGATTTAGAGCAAGGCAGGAACTCCTGTTTGCCTTGCTCTTCATCTAGCGTTCTCTCTTGCAGCCCTTCCTAGCATTCAGCTCTTAAATCTTTTCTCCTTTAAGCAGCAGGAATATCTGAGGCCGGGTAAGTGGCCTGGCAGCCTCCTGGCACTGAGAAAGGGCAGCCAGGAGATTCGCCTTACAGCATTTGTGAATGCCGATCCCTGCTACTGTTTTACAGAGAGGAGAACCTAATCCCGTATTCCCCAGATGTCCAGATACATGCAGAGCGATTCATCAACTATAACCAGACAGTGTCCCGTATGCGAGGTATCTACACGGCTCCCTCAGGCCTGGAGTCCACTTGTTTGGTGAGTCACGCCAGCCGTCCAGCGTGCGCCCCTACCTCTAGACCACCCAAGCCACTGCCACTCTTGGTTCCTCTCTGGGAAGAGCACGGAGGATTCTGTTTCCTTTCTTCTCCTACGTCTGAGATGGTGGGCTGCCGGCTGCCTTTCTTACCTAGCTCTCTCTTCCCTGCTTTCCAGGTCGTAGCTTATGGCTTGGACATTTACCAGACTCGGGTCTACCCATCCAAACAGTTTGACGTCCTGAAGGATGACTACGACTACGTGCTGATCAGCAGTGTCCTCTTCGGCCTGGTATTCGCCACCATGATCACTAAGAGACTGGCGCAGGTGAAGCTCCTCAACCGTGCCTGGCGCTGAAGACCTGAGATGCCCCTCCCCAGCCAGGGAGCGAGCGGGAGGTGCTGAGACCCAGCTCAGAGGCTCCCGCTGCAGCTTGATGGGTCGGTGTCGGGTGCGCGTCCCAGATGAGAGCCCTGGGGAAGCGGATGGCCTTTCCCGGAGTCTCCTTTGGGACCTGCCTGATGCCATCCTCCCTGATGGAGCCCGCACTCCCGAACCCCGTGGCAAGTCTCGGAGGAACTTGAAGGCCTTTCCTTGAAGTTCCAAGGCTCTTGTCATTTTTCCTCGGGGGACCGTCCGTGAATGATGCTTTTCTTTCCTTCTTTTTATAAATCAAGACCCTCAACAGATTTTTTCTTCTTTTAGGGAGGTCTGTTGAAACTGATTTTTGTTGTTTCCCAGGTTTATCTAGAACTCCTTCTGACTGTTTCCTTGTCTCTTGCTTCAGAGTCAGAAGGGAATCCTTATTGACAACACCTTATAGGTGCATTTACTGTTTTCCACTGGGGATAAAGACGATCCATCTTTAGCTAAGGTTTTAGGACTGGTCCTGCCCCTCGTGACTTCTCTCCAAAGTACTTTTAGACTTGAATCTGGTATCAAAACTTGTTTAATTAAGCCTTTGTTTCATGTTATTAGAAGCCAAGTTTGTAAGAGCATCTGAATTTGTTGGTTACTCCCTATATGTTTCACTGATAAGACATCAGAGCTGAGGCCTCTTTAGTCACTACTGAATTGTCTGGACCCTATAGAGATCTCAGGAGAGGAGACATAATCTGCCCTTTTCGCGGTACCTCATAACCACTTGTAGGCTGGTTTGGTCGTCTTAAAACCTAGAGGAAGTTGTCTTTGTTTAAGAACCTCATTATTTATTTTTAGATATGAATTAATGTGTGGATCACTGTGTTTCTCTTAAAATGAGCAGATTTAAAATCTGATTTAACACTTGCAGCTTTAAGAAGGCAAAAGGGATGAGGGTAGGACTCTGGCAGGGGTGGATGTGGGTTGCTGATTGGCTGCGCTCTTGACTTTGCTACAGACGAAGGAGATCCTGGAAGTTTTTCTTACGGGTTTGGGGAATGAGGGAGTATTGCTTTATTGTGAAGAATGATGGAGATACACCCAGGTGTCTGAATAAAGCAAGTGACAAATGATATCGATACCCATAGCGTCCTTCTTTGTGGCTTAAGAATCTCTATGTCCACTTAGAGGCTTCTTTGCATCAGTGGGGACAAAAAGCTGTCCAGATATGGAATTCAATGTGTTTTAGACAAGAAAGCATGCCAATTGGGTCATATGAGTGGCATTAATTAGTTACAAAAATTTGTATCTCTGTGGTCATAGACTGATCTTTTCTGCCATAGATTATGGCAGAAAAGGGAGAAAAATGAGAGGGGGTTTGGGCCACACTAGTACTCACAGATCACTCTTGGCTGTGGTTGGGGGAACCAGGTGTGGAGGGTTGAACTGGGGTTAGCCACATGCAAGATGAGCACTAACCCGCTGTGCTTGCTCTTCAGCCCAAGAATTACTTTACTTGTAAAATTAGATTTTTAATAAGTAGATGTTTGAGTAGCCCCAGAAAAGATAGGTGCCTGTTTCTCCTGACTCAAGGCATGTTTGCTTTCCAGTGACCTGGCAGTGCTGGAGTTGGGTGTGACCCTGGAAAGTACCCCTGGTCAAAGCACATTTGACCCCTGTCCCTTGTAACAGCAGGAACAGTGTAAAGCGATGAATGACTGGGATGCTGGTGGGGACAGAAGTGACCTGGCAGAAATGAAGACATGAAAGCTAACAAAGCTGCCTCAGTTGTGAGGAAGCAGGCGAGAACCCTGGCACAGTCTCACGTGAATACTGCATGCTGCCATCTTAACTATTGCGTTGTTGCCTGTCCTGCTTACGCAGCCCAGAAAACCAGCCAGACCCTGGTGTGCATTTCTCAGTGTGCCAGAACTGCAGTGGATAGGCCTAATGGGAGGCAAGTATCTGCGTGTTCCTCACCCCCCTCCCCCCAACCCTACCCTCGCTTTTTAAAAAAACTTTATTGAATATCCATGAGATAGACCATTACAAAGCTGTTCATGATTGGGTTTCGGTCACACGATGACCCAACACCCATCCTCCATCAGTGCACACCTCCCACCACCAAAGTCCCCCATCTCCCTTCTACTATACCCCAACACTGCCCCACTCCCCAGCCTGCAGGCACTTCTCCTCCTTTTGTCCATTATGGTTTGCAGTACAGGTACTAAGTGTTTGTTCAGGGCAGGTACTCAGAGGTCATGTTTGTTCGAGAAGGTAAGGCCAGAGCTTTTTTATCTGGGTGGCAGCTTTGGGGTGTGGCTATGACTGCTCAGGCTTCTGGAAGTATAGGGCAGTGAGGGAGATAGCCCATCCCAACCCTGAGAAAGCTTGGAGATTTCAGTCACAACCCACATTCTCAAATTTTCAGCAGATACTTCTTGGTGAGATCCATCCTGAGATGATGGAGTCTGGCCAGGGGCATGGCAGCAATTTTGGTCTATCAGGAAGCCTGAAGGCACCAACAGGCTGCTGAGCACTCGCCCTGCGAGTACAGGTTGACCTGCTTGCGGCACCGCACCCTCTGTATGAGTTTTTTTCTGAAAACATAAGAGGATAAAATAGTAATATAATTGCACCTTTTTATAACTGCTGATTTAATATCTCACGTAGAAGAGCTTAATCCCTAATTCCCCTATCCCTAACACAAAGATGCACCAGCTAATACACAGGCACCCTTTCAGCATCCTAAAGTCTGTGACTAATAAATAACAGAACAACAGACCCTATCACTGATTAAGTACCCAAACAAACATGATGTTTCTGAAAACCAGAAATTCCTGTTAGCAGTCCTCCAATGTTATTTTTGCTTAGAGTCTGCCACTCTAAATTGCAAGTTGTCTATTTTTCTTCTCTCCATGGAATCGTCGTGGGCCTTGACTACATTTATGTCTGCTGGAGGTTCTCCTTTGGCCCCATGGCCCTTGTCAGGCTCTCTGATTTTATATTACTTTTGGGTACATGGGCCAAACTGCCATGGCAGTACTTAAGAGCTTGGACTTCTGGCTCTGTTCAGGGATCACTCCTGGTGGTGTGCAAGGTAGCTGCCTAACTCCTGGACTAATCCTCCAGCTTCCTCATTTTTTTGTTTTTTGGGCCATATCTGGTAATGCTGGAGCGATAGCACAGCGGGTAGGGCGTTTGCCTTACAAGCGGCCAACATGGCCGACCCGTGTTCGATTCCTCCGTCCCTCTCGGAGAGCCCGGCAAGCTACCGAGAGTATTCGATATGCCAGACACAGTAACAACAAAGTCTCCAATGGAGACGTTACTGGGCCCGCTCGAGCAAATCGACTCGAGCAATCTGGTAATGCTCAGGGCTTACTCTTGACTATGTGCTCAGGGATCATGCCTGGTGGTTCTCAGCGGACCATATGGGATGCTGGGGATCAAAGCTAGGGTGGCTAGATGCATGGAAAATGCCCCACTATCACTCTGGTCCCTCCTCCATTTTTAATTACTATTCTTATTGAGTCTGGGGAGAGTAGAATGGGTAAGGCATTTTCCTTGCATGAAGCAGACTTGAGTCCCCATGCATAGAACCAGGAGGAGCCCCTATCACCTCCAGATATGGCCTAAAATTTCTATGACCCTCCCAAAGGCATTCTTTCATTTAACAAATCTGAATAAATATAAGGTATATTACTATGGCTTTTACCTTATAGGTATAAGATGTAATTACTTTGATACACTTAGATGTTAGGACTGCTGTCCTAATGAAGTTTCCCACATTACACATTATAGTATCATTCACTGAGCTTTAATCTCTGTGGTTTATTTACTACTTACAGTAAGCTTGAACCTTTGAGTAATATTCTTATTTTCCCATCCACTAATAACCATTTTTCACAGGTTTGATTGGTTTTATCTGAAGCATCTAAGTGGAGATCATACCAAAGCTGTCTTTCTGTTCTGATCGACATCACTTAGGGTAATGGGTTCAAGGTCCGTCCATGTCATCACACATGACAGGATATCCTTGTCATGGCTGAGTCACATACTGAGTGACATAATAAAAATGCTTGGTGTACATGTATATCATGGACTTTCCAATCTTTTCATCTGTTGTTACTATCTGGATTGTTTCCCATCTTGAATTTTTTTTTTTTTTTGGAGGGGGCATCACACCCAGTTATACTCAGGGCTCACTCCTGGTTCTGCTCTCAGGAATTACTGAGAAACCATATGGGATGCTGGGGATGGAACCTGGGTTGGCTGTGTGCAAAGCACACACCCATTGTACTATCACTCCAGGTCCCTATCTTGGCTGTTGCGAGTAGTGCAGTCATAAACATGAGTGTGCAGATAGCTCATTGGGAGAGTTAGTTTAAGGGTTAAGGCACTTGCTTCCTTGAATGCTGCTAACCTCAGTTTAAATCCTGGCACTGGATAGTCCCCTGAGTACTGCCATGAGAGATTTCTGAGCACAGAGCCAGAAGTAACCCCTGGGCATCACTATGTGATCCCAAAACCAAACATAAATATAAAAGTCTATTTTTAGTTTCTCTGTGTGTATACCCTATAATCAAGAACACGTGCATAGCATACCTTATAATGTATCTGTAACTGTTCGTTGATGGGTTCGTTCTGGAGCAATGATGCTCGGTTTATATATAAGCCTCGGCCTGGACTGGGTCATCATCCTCCAGGTATAGCCTCGCAATTTTCAGGTAAGTCTTCAGCTTGTAATCCACATTGTACTGCTCTACTTTTATCCTGTTTCCACTGGAATTCCCATCAATACTTGAGCTGTATTTCTCCAGTCTTCTTCCTTCTCATATATAGTTGCAAAATGCTGTCTTATGGAAGCAACCTGCTCCTCAAAGGAAATGACTCTGGGCTGGATCTTTTCCAAGGTGAAATGATAAATGTCTTTGGTGGTGCCATCAGGCAGGTTAGGGACATGTGCACAGAAATCAGTCAGCAGCTGCCAAGAGATCACCAGGCTGACATTTTCATTCACCATTGCGTCCACAAAAGCTTTCAAAGCTTCTAGTTGCTCTGCCCCAGATAACTGAGTGGCTTTTTCCAAGATCTGATGGTACTTGCCCGCCAGGTCCTTTTGAGAACCTCTGGAATTCATGAGCTGGGCCAAGTCCTGGCGCACGGTGGCCACCATCTTTCTTCTAGCTTGGTCTGGGCCTCGCACGATCTGAACAGGGCTGGAGTGATAGCACAGTGGGTAGGGCGTTTGCCTTGCACATGGCTGACCCAGGTTCGATTCCTCCGTCCTTCTCAGAGCCTGGCAAGCTACCAAGAGTATCTCGCCCGCACGGCAGAACCTGGCAAGCTCCCCATGGCATATTCGATATGCCAAAAATATAGTTACTATATATAATAGTAACGTCTCACAATGTAGACGTTGCTGGTGCCCGCTCGAGCAAATCGATCAACAACAGGAGGACAGTGCTATAGTGCTGTGTATACCCAGAAGTTGAACTGCAGGATTATATAGTTGAGCTTTTTTAGAAAAATAAGCTGATTTTTCTTTTTTCTCAACAGCCTCACCAGCACTGTTGCTTTTTGGATGATGGATTCATTTTAGCCAGAAGATGCCATTCCTTCTCCCTGGCTTTAATGATTGCTAAACTGAGGGCTGGAGCAATAGAACAGCAAAGAGAGTGCTTGTTTTGCCTGTGGCTGACCCAGGTTTGATTCTTAGCACCATATGTGATCCCCAAACCCTGCCAGGAATGATCCCTGAGTGCAGAGTTAGGAGTAAGCCCTGAACACCGCCCTAAAAACAAACAAACAAAAAAAGAGAACAAAATTTTTATTCCTGCATCTTCTCAGTTGTTTTTTTCATTATATTTGCCCTTTTCTTTTCCTACTCAGATTTGGCTTTGCATTCCAGGATCTTTTTGTGGTCTTCAGTTTTAGTCTAGTGATCATCACCTTACTAGGTGAATACCTACATGGACAGCTGTGCCATTGACTTTTTCCTGCTGGACTCATTCAATGTAGATGACAAATTTCTATCTCTCTCTATATATATCTCATAATATATCTTTATATTATGTACAGCGGTAGGGCATTTGCCTTACAAGCAGCCAACATGGCCGACCAGAGTTCG